ACATATTTGTTTCAACCAAATACACAATGCTTAGTCGTGCAGTCTTGCCTCTAACGAGGCCAAATGTCTTTGCCTCTGCCGTTCGGGCATCAACCCTGTCGGCGCGACCCTCGCCGTACGCTGCTTACAAGCTTTCCCCGGCCATCCAGCTAAGGGCAAAGTCGAACAAAGCGAAGTCGAATACTCCCAAAGCAGCTCCAAATGATTTTACCGCAGAGCAACCTGAGTTTGATACGAAAGCTGAACCTACACAACCTTCCGAATCTGTGAGACTCTCTTCACTTTTTACAGAAATGAATCACCTCTGACGTTGTCTTTCTAGGTCGAACAAGAACAAGCCCCACAGACACCTCTCCCCGATCTGACACAAGGTATTCCATCGACGCTGACCGCAGAATTGGAAGGGCGTACGAAGAAGGGACCATTGAACCTCACAGAAGATCCTACCCAGTCAGAAGAGTATGGCGCGGATGGCAGAGGTGGTGGTGACATTCCTAAGGGCGGATATGAGACATCTATCGACCGCCGCAAGGCCCGCATGGCCAACATAGTATACGCCGCTATGTTGCTTGCTGGTGTTGCTGGTATGGGTTACCTGGGTCGCAACTGGGAAACCGAAGAGGAGGCGAGCCAACACCCTGAGATTCCATCTGGATGGAGTCCGGGTCTCTGGTACAGCCGTATCAAGGCCCGCACCAGCGATCTCACCAGCTACTACAAGGACCCTGCTTTCCCCAAGCTGCTTCCGGATGAGGACGCCGAGATGCGTCAGCCTTACACCCTGGTGCTCAGTCTTGAGGATCTTCTCGTTCACAGCGAATGGACCCGTGAGCACGGATGGCGGGTTGCCAAGCGACCTGGTGTCGACTACTTCCTCCGCTACCTGAACCAATACTATGAGCTCGTCCTGTTCACCAGTGTGCCCAGTATGATGGCCGACCAAGTCTTACGCAAACTCGACCCCTACCGCATCATCCGCTGGCCCTTGTTCCGCGAGGCGACCCGATACAAGGATGGAGAGTACATCAAGGTATGCCAACTTCTCATTCTTTTCTTTCTCCAAGTCATCATATGCTAATTGTCTTCTAGGATTTGCAATATCTCAACCGTGACCTTTCCAAGGTTATTCTCATCGACACCAAAGAGGAGCACGCCCGCCACCAGCCCGAGAACGCCATTGTTTTGGACAAGTGGACCGGAGACCCGAAAGATAAGACACTGGTCGCCCTCATCCCCTTCCTGGAATACCTTGCTGGCATGGGTGTCGAAGACGTGCGTACCGTGCTGAAGTCGTTTGATGGCACTCCTATTCCCGTCGAGTTTGCCAAGCGTGAGAAGGCCATGCGTGAGCGCTTCGAGAAGGACCTTGCCGAGGAGCAGAAGAAGAAGCCCTCGCGTGGTCTGGGTAACTTTGCTGCCGCACTTGGTTTGAAGTCTTCTGCCACCCTGAACGGCGAGCAAACACCCTCCGAGGGTCTCGCTCAAGGCAAGATGCTTTGGGATCAGATCCGCGAGCGTGGTCAAAAGAACTACGAGATGATCGAGTCAGAGATCCGTGCGAACGGCGAGAAGTGGCTCGCTGAGATGGCAGCCGAGGAGGAGAAGGCCCGCCAGGAGCAGATGCAGAGCATGAAGGGCTCATTCACTGGCATGTTCGGTGCTGGCTCCAAGGACCAGTAATCGGCGCAGGTCAATTACTTTTTTTTTTTGTCTAGCACATCATGAGGGGTTCGTTCTGAGCATTAATGGACGAGTGTAAATTAGGGATTGGGGTTTGTTATTTTTTGTACAAAATTTTAGTCGGAAATTTTAATATGAAAAAAGACTGAGATCGAACTGATATCAAGGTAGTTTGGGCTTTGGATCCCAGGGTATATTGTTGAAATAAGAATCGAGAAGTATATGCTCAATGATCTTCCTGGTCATGTCAGGTTCACATCTTGGAAGACGGAGACATCCCATATTCCTGTCATGTCGAAGGGGAAACCGTCCATCGTTCCAAAGGTATTAGATATTGACATCATGTCGTCCACGATATCGTTGTTTGTTTGAGTCTCGGGTAGTGATATCGCGGCCGGGTTGACCAGCCCGCTGTCTGCCATCGTAGTTGTGAAGGCCTGGTCCATTGTGGCACCGGTGCCGGGAAGTCGGTGCATAATGCGTTCACAGTGGTCCAGGCACATGTCTGCTACATCCCAGTCTTCTTCTTCCCGCACACGACGCAAGACAGAGCGTAGGGTTTCGACGTTCGAAAGACATGATCGTGCAACTTCGCTGTCGGTGGTTTCGAATGCACATCGAACCAGTAATGTCGCCGTCGAGGTGAGATGAAAGGCGCTATCTGTCAAGAAGATTAGAGGGGGAAAAAACAAAAAAAGGAATGACCGGAGAAAATGCTTCAACGTACAGGGTAGCCAGAACTCTGCAAAATTATTCTTTCGCAAGGATGTCATAAATCCGACAATCTCCTCTGCTGACTTTCTGCATTCCGTTTGGAAATAGCGACGTGCCTCGGTGTTTTCCGTTTCGGAGTTGTTGACTTCCTGGAAGGTTGTTAGAGATCATTCCTTTCGATTTCCCCCATTTGGCTTACATTTAGTTCAACTCGGCTGACAAGCATTTTGACAGCTAAGAAAGCTAGTTGCAAGCTGCTCGCTCCGTAGATTCGTTCTCCAGAGTGAATTGTGGGTCCTCGCAACCAGTCTGGTAGGGAGTCTTCCCACATATCTAGATCCGTTCGTATTTGCCTGAGCTTCTTGGACGTCTCGCGTGCGGGTTTGTGTTGAAGCCCATAGACCAGTGGTAACAGCTCGCCCAAAGTCTCGGTCAAGCGGCATAGGTAGATGTGACAGTGTGCTGCTCTCACACGTTCTGTAGTGCGGAGGTGTGATGAGACTAATACGTCCACGGTGGGTAGAGGCACGTCGTACTGGTTTTTGGAAATCTGAGGTGGGACACCATGACCAAAGCTTCCCCTGTTTATTGTTAGGTCTATTGCAAGCCAAAAGAGAAATAGAACAATCTTACCAACGATCGTGAATGACAACTCCCCACCACAGACGAATGCGCTGGTTCTTTTCTGCCTGTGAGAGCTTCCAATTGCTAGGATCACGGTTGAGACCAAGGCAATTTGCCAAAGATAACATGCGGCCACAGCTGACGGCGTTGCCAGTCATGGAGAAAATGGGTCGCCCAGTCAGGTCGATAAGTGCGGCGCTGATTGTGTCCAATCCAGGGGCTGAAAATTCCTCGTGCAACGCGGCGACGGTCATGTTGATCGCATATCGAACGTCGGGCTTCGGATGACACGCAAGCTTTTGCGTGTGTTTCCAGTACACGAGGGACATGGAATAGACTTGACACACTAGTGCAGCTGGTGGGTCGTGCAGGTCATCAGTGATGTATGAATCCCAAAACGATTCCCCGTCGAAGATCGGAAAAGAAACGTTAAAACGATCAATGAAGCTAGAGGGGGAAATATTAGCAAGGTAGAAAATGGAGGGAAAGGCCAACGGTCAACATACAGTCTCACTAGGTCGTGTTTGAACGGCCCGAGTATTTGTTCGAGGACCTCCTTCTGGTTCTCACCAGGAGGTGTTCCTCTCCGCATACCTTTCCTTCGCCGCGATATTGTGGTGTAAAGGACTGGTTTCCGCGGATCACTAGAGTAGATATTATACGGGTGACTCTTGGGCTCTTCCGATTGACTTGTCCGCTCTGGGGGCATGTGTTGTTCAATGACTTGGGCATCTTCAGCGACCATAGGGCCAACAATGAGAACTGACTCATTCTGGGGATCGTCCATATCTTTCCGCCGCGAATCACTTCCTCGACGACCACCCGACGAAGTCGTTCCATGGGGGCTGGGTCCATTGGTCGGCTGCCGGGGCGGGATATTCTGGCTCATGTGCGCGATTCCATCGGGGCTGCGCTTGCGCTTCTGCCCCTGCACCGCGTCCATCGCTGGTGGCCCCGGCCAGGATTTTGAATCCGGAGCACTTAAGATAGAAGAATCCGCGTTGGCCTCCTCTTGGTAGTGACAATCAGCACCTTGCACGCGACACAAAAGACAAGATTGACCGGGGATATCAACTGTACATCGTGACTTGCGCTTGCGGCACAAGTCACAGGCGCGGACCTTGTGGGAGCGGTAGGGTCGGGCGCCGGCATTGAACCCGGGGGATGGGAGCTTGGAGGAGGAATTGACTTGGACTGGTGGAGGCGACATGATGCGCTCCCAAGTGCGAGGGAGTTATGCCGAAATACGGGGAAAGCGACAGAGAGTGATTTGGAGATTTTGGTCGGGGTGTTTTCGGAGTCGGCCGATTAGCGGTTGGACCGAGTGAGGGGTAGGAACACGAGACCTGCCTGGGAGAAGCAGGCGAGGACAAGAATTGGGAGCTCTAAACGGTTAGGTGGCTGTATCCGAGAGTCAAAGAAAGCTACAGGCACATCATCCTGTACAATGTTTCCCCAGATATCAAAATCCGGCTGATCACATTTTCTTATCAAAAATTGAATGCGGGCACCCATGGGTTCGTCCACTGTGGGGAATGATGACTCATCCCGAGTGTACCTTGGAAACTCGTCTGTAAACTCCCGCGTCTGTTACCTTCCAAGGTTTTTATTATGAAAGCTAGGTGACCTCATCAAGTGTCATCCATGGGTGGACCTGAGCAATCAGGTCCCACTGAGACCAAAATGACGAAGAAACGTCCAGCACCAGATACAAACCCATCCACCCCAAAGCGACCCAAGCAGACTGCCTACCCCTGACCCTCCAAAACCTAGCAAAGCGAAGGCACAACCGCCAAGCATTCCCGCCAAACGACCATCATCCATCCGGCAGCCACTTGGCAAGGTTAGCTATAATTAGCATCTTATCAAAAGTACAATCTCCGACTACTCACACTGAATAGCACGAGGCCAACTTCATCCTCTACGGCAGAGGCCCGAAACAGCCACTGTCCGCAATCCAACAAACCATCAACTCCCAGGACATGCAGTACTCCAATGACCGGAATGCGTGGGCCAACGCCGCTGGATTTGATCTGCTAGATCGAATCCAGATGCTACAGGATGACACCAAGGCCAGATTGCAGTACTATGATGACACTAAGGCCAGATTGCAGTACTATGAGAAGCTGACCAAAGAGACTGGGAATCAAATCAGAGGTTCTGTACTAGACACTTGGTCAAAAACATATACCGAACCGTCGAAGCGTCAAGCGAGAAACAATCTTGCCCATGGAGGGGCCGTGCTCCTTGACTACGACGTTATAACCCACCAACCTAACAAAGATATTCAAGAGCGCTGGAAAAAGGCATTCAAGGAGTACTACGCTGTTAGCTTACAGATGTGCAGAGAGCGTTTCCGGGGAACGTTCACCGAGGATTCTACTATTGAAGTCCTCAACCAACGGGCTAACGTGATGGCTATGGATAAATGGAGGGACGAGTACTACGAGGGCCAAGATCTCGTTAATATGCGTCAAGCTCGAGATCAGATTCTTGACCTCTGCAACGAGTGGATCGTTGAATGGAAACACCAGCCAGCACTGATTCCCTCAATCACTCTTCTCGATCAACTCCACTCTCTGGATTCTCTGGTCGGTTAGCAGGTAGAACCCGATGTTGAAATTGCTATAGCTGTATTTTTAGATATTACAGAGAAGAAACTTCTTCAGTCTCTATATTGTTCTTTATTGATAATGTATGAAGTCACATTCTCTCTCCCCCGCAATCATTAACGCGGGGAGATAACTCCATAGTTGTGTGTCATTGTCAAAGCATATGGTCCTCATTACACCAATGTTGCACTGAATTGAGTTCCTGGTGCTGAAACTGCTGACATAATGTGTTTCTGCCTCAGGCTCTCTATATACTATTTTTATCTTTGGACTTGGCGTGGGCAATGCAGGCGATCGGCATAAGTTGATTCATTGATGCTGGTGTCCCGCATGGCCTTATGGGGCGATAAACTGCACAGCCACAAGGTCACCTTTTTTCTCAACCATGTCCACGGCGTGCTTGATCCGTTGTATGTAGGTAGAAAGTGGTGATTATGGAGGATACCTCCCTCTCCGAGGACCCTTTGGTCCAGCAAGCGGGCTCTCCTACATCGCCCAGCCCAAAGAGCTGCTTTGACCGGCTACCACTTAATGTGATCGAGCAGTAAGTTTTCTTTCACCCGGTACTCGCAACCTTGTGTTTGTCCGACCTGTGGCCCTAGGGTCAGTCATTGACTGTAATTCTTACCGAGTCAATAGCATCCTATATGCTTCCGATGCCAATACATTTGCATCGCTATCTCTGCTAAACCGAAGATGGAAGCATTCATCCGATTCCGCTGCATTGTATGCCTATCAGTTGTCACGTTGTTCATCCCTTTCCTGGTCTCGCGGGGTCATTCCTGAGGCAGAAAACCTCACTAAACTCAAGCGCCAATTTGTTAAAGAGGTCAGGCAGAACGCCTTTGATGCATTTCTACGGCCTCGGCAAACTCTCGTGCGGCTCCTTTCAAGTTCTATGAGCTCGTCAACGGCGTTCCCACAGGGCGAAGTTTTTCGATTCTCATTTTCAGGAAACGGTCAAATGGTTCTCTGCATCAGCTCTTCTCGCATTGTCATATTAGACGTGTCTACTGACCCAGTCATCGTCAAGCATGAGCTTAAGACTCGAAGACGGCCACTGGGAGCCACAATCCGTGATGATAGCTCTCTCATTGCTGTTTTATCTTCCACGCATCGAGTTCATATATACCAGCTTTCTGACGATGAAGCCAAACACATTCAAGTTATCACACTGAATGATGGTCCAAGGGACATCAAGTTCTCTCCAGCAGGTAGTGTGCTAGCATTAGCCTTCGAGGATAGTATCGAGGTATACGCTGTGGGTGAAGAGGCTTTGCCAACCGACCGCCGGGCGGTGCGTTGTCCCCGTGTCGATGCACTTTCATTTTCACCTGATGGAGCGATGCTTCTTGGCTTTTCAGATGAAGGTATAGTCACTATCACTCCTCCTTTCTATACTGAGACCGGAACGGACGCCTCACCCGGAGAACTCGAGATGCGAATGTGGACAACACAAATTCTCTTTCCTGAAACAATCTCTTGCCATATCACTCACATCTCCCTTTGTTGCTGGCCAAGAGGAAGCCGACGATCACTGGGTGATGGGATATGATGAACAATTGGGGGCGTTTAGGGCGCTTCAATTAAACAATAATGCGGGAATCGTTTATTTCGCCAGTCCATTCCTCGCAGGTGAATCCCGGGAAATGCGACCAAGCATGAGACCCGCCACGGATGATGCGGGAGAACTTTCTGCATTAGGGTTCCAAGATTCAGAACTATGGATATATGGGATGCCTAGCTTGGGCGCTAGTGAAATCACTGGTACCCAGGTTGGTGGTGGTCATCATTATGGAGGTTGTGCGCCTCGCGACAATCTAGCACAGCTTCAGAAGATCGTTCAACAACCTAAGATCTTGATCCGGGGGCGGCGGGTGAGTGACATGCACGGTATCACATCCGCTCATTGGGTACATTCTGACTCACGACGCCGTCGGAGACTCGTCGCGGTAGCGCCTGGTGGTGTGCGCTCACAGAACTTTGGCGAAGAAGATATCCCAGTTGACGGTGGTCGAATTCTCCTCCTTGATTTTGAGCGCTCTACCATGAACGGTGAAACGACTGAACTTGACATCGAAGTCGGAGAAAAGGCACCCAAGATTCTTATGGAGCCGGACTCCTCTTTGGACACGGAAGTGGAGCTTGAAAGAAGGCGAACACGACTACATCGTGGCGATACTGTTACAGCATTCGCAGCCCGCGGTAATTCAACAATTACTCGAGAATCCCGAGCTCTGCCACTTCACTTCCGCCGCAACAGTCTTGCAGTTCCCACCTCGCCAAGCGAGACTTCTCGAGTCGATATACTCGACCTTCCATATGACAATACGCAGCCTCGTTCCAGCACAGTCCTCCACCGAGCTGCTACTGTGGTTGCATCGACCCGTGGACGGTACGACCCTCGATATCGTAATTCCCACAACCCCCGACAGATTCCCCATGAAAGTGACGCCGATAATTGGGTGCCACCACCACCTCCTTACGAACGTGAGACGGTGGACCCATTGCCAGATGATCTACAACGAATGCTCCTTCCCCCGGTCAATGTCGCCAGCTCTACCCTTCACCCTGAAAGAGGACAAATCGCTCGTGTCGCGCAGCAACCAACCCGCCCTCGCCCACAGTCTGTCAATTTCCAGAGCCTAGGCACTACGACTGGGACAAGGCGCAGGGGAAGTTCCATTGGCAGAGACTTCAACCCAGATCAATTGGCCCCGCAAGATTCGTTCACGAACAACTTATCACCAGAACAGCCGCGATCTGCTTCGCGTCCACCTACGGCGATCCAACCCACCACGCCTACATTTGCTGTATATCCAGCTGAACTACCCCCACAAGAAAACACGATGCCTCTTCCATATTTGAGGGCCTCGGCACTGGGCGATGCACTTGGTGATGCCTACTTCCCATACTCTGTATCATCGCCAAACCTTCTCCATATCCCACAGCCATATGAAGAAGTACAGGGCACTGCAGTAGATGACGAGCATGAGATACCTCAGAGGCAAAGATCTTTCCGCAGGCGGGTTTCAACCGAACCCTCCAGCTTACCGCCGCCAACAAACGAGGAATGGCGCCGGCGCATTCAGGATTGGAACAATAACACAATTAAGGAGCGGCGTCGTAAACGAAGGGGGAAGTGCCATGTCATGTAGCTTTTTCTACCATATGTCCAATTCTCCATCTAGGATCGCTGTCAAATTATTAAATCAATTTTTTTTTTCAAGCGTAATGGTCAGATGTATCAAATAATGTAGGTGATGTACTTTAAACGACGCCATCAAGTGACGCTGTATAGTAACTACCCAACCACTATGCATGTATATTGCCTCATATCTGTTTCCATAATGGGTGATACACTAAGTTACCATATAGTTAGAGGTGCCTTTATGATGAGTTCTCCATTGTTGGCCCTGTTGCCACTCAAAAAAGCCATCGTTCTAGCAGTAGCCCGCCACTCCTTTGTACAAAGAGTGTCTTCAGAGGAAAATGACGAGTTACTTGCAACTACTATGTTTCCTTTCCCTTTGAGTCTAGTATAATTGGAGCACAGCTGCTCTTGAACGGGACCCTTACAGAAGCAACCATCAATTGCAACAAAACAATGGTATTCAATTGACCGAGGTGAGAAGACAGTCAAAAACCAACAAAAAAATAAAAGGCTATGCTTTGTGGGGTATCACTGAAACAACAAAAAAGGATCCGCCCCGTTGCAATGGGCGCGAGATCTGTACACAAAACACAAGAAACCCGCAGAACGCCTGAAACATGATATGCATGCTCAACCCAGTTTTAATATCCCCTTGTACCATGTCCCATATTTCATATCCCATCATGATCCGTAGACCATACACCAAACCCGGAGTTTAACCGGCTCAAGAAAGGAAACGCTGGGAGGACGATTGAATCAATGGAAGGAATCACCGGTCCTGGAAAAGCCCTAACAGTCAGCAAATGGAAAAAAACGAAGTTTAGACGACCATGACATACCAACAACTTCCAGCTTTTTGGAAAGGATATTTGGTTTTGCCCTTGTTTATTCCTCATCAAGGGTATTTGGATGCCCGGGGAGGATGAAGGTCGAAAGTGATTCCGAAGGTTGTCGGAATGTCTGTCCAGAAAAAACCTTATCCAAGGTCTGAAGAGAGGACAAACTTGTCAAGCAAAATTGCCGCACATGGAAAGTGGTTATGGACGTCAGAAGGATCATCCAGAGACCTGTTTCGGGGCCCGGAGAGTAAAAGATGTGTTGAATGAAACTGACGAAGACAGAAAGTGGGTATCCAGTGAAGACGCAAGGATATTAATGGTTTTCAAGAAGCTCCTTCACACAAAGACTTAGCTCAAGGCCCGTGGAGAGAAAGGAAAAAGCCAGAGAGCAGGTTGAATTGGCGAACGAGCATATCGTCAAGAAGATTTGTGATTTGGGAGTTGCTCCGCACTGGCGAAGTACAAAGTCATCGGTGATGGTTCACGTCTTCCAGTGAGATAATGTGCGAAAATCGTGGGAAGGAAGTCAAGATGATTGAATCGGAATCGGACTGAGGATCGACTCTTGGTTTTGTGTGGACTTGACAGGAAGCATGGTTGAAGTCGAAGTTCCGATTGATGCTCATGGCGTTCTCGATCCAGCAAAGGCTTGTTTCGTAGTCCGGCGGAGAACAGCTCGATCTGAATTGATCAGCAGATTTGTGGTGATGGTAAATTGACGTCGAATTGATTTGTTTTCTCGCAATGTTCGTCCAACTGAAGCAAGCTCAGTGGAAATCGATCTTCCTCCCCCCGCCCCCCTCTCTTTCAATCTTGAGGTGCAGAGAGGGGGGTTGTAAGGGCCGTGGCCGAGGGCCGGAGAACAGAAGTCAAATAGGCAAACCCCAGAGCCCAAACAACGGAAAAGCGAAGCAAAAGCGGCGTGAGACAAGAACGTCGCAACAGAGACAGACCCCCCGCCTCAAGTAAAAGTGAGAGTGAAGTGAGAGTGGATCCCTTATTTTGTGTGATTTTCTGTCGTAATTTTTTTCTCACTGTCTCTTTTTTTGGGGTTTTGTATTTTTTTGGGGGGACCCTGAAGTGAGATTGTCAGTGCTGGTGTCTCAAAAAGGATTTGGGGGAGTATACTCACACATTCAATCTCCGTCGTAATTTTTTTCTCACTGTCTCTTTTTTTGGGGTTTTGTATTTTTTTGGGGGGACCCTGAAGTGAGATTGTCAGTGCTGGTGTCTCAAAAAGGATTTGGGGAGGGGATACTCACATTCAACCTCAGTCGTAATTTTTTTCTCACTGTCTCTTTTTTTTTTTTTTTTTTTTTTTTTTTGGAAGCCTAAAATGAGCTTGTCAGTGCTGGTGTCTCAAAAAGGGTTCAGGGTTTGTCTGCGTACAGTCACCAATCACAGTCGTAATTTTTTTCTCACTGTCTCTTTTTTTGGGTTTTTGTGTATTTTCCTTTTTTTTTTTTTTTTTTTTTTTTTTTGAAGCATATTGGCCAGTCAACTCAATCTCCAACCCAACCACCATACGGAAAGCTTCTGAGGACGCTCGACGCGGCGGCCCCACGACAGCTTTGTACCAGCAAACAAAAGGGCTGCAGGACAGCCGAGAAAGACCTAAACAACCCTCCGAAGAGAGGAGGTCCTTCTGCAAGGTTGTCCCACTCAGACACATTTGTTGCTGGTACATGCCCCACCTCCACCGAAGCGTCTAGGCACGACGCTGTCGACGGCGACGGCGGCGGTGGTGCAGCTGGGGCGGAGCGTTCTCATCGGGCGTAGTCGTACCACAGTCTGCAGGAGGATCAATGCCCGCGGATGCGAACAAGGGAGCTGAAGAAGGAGGACCACTCTGCAGATCATCCTGCTCCGCCAGACGACCAGGAACGAAGACCGGAGCCAAAGCCGACAAAGGCGTCGAGCTCGAAGACATCGCAAGAGAAGCAGAAGCACTGGAAGCGTAAGAGGCTAGAACACTGGAGTGCTGTAGTTCCTTCTTTCCCTGTTGTGCTGCTCTCTTTGCTTCGCGACGTCTCTTTGCTTGCGACGGACGGTTCCTTCTTCCAGAGGACGCAGGGGTGGAATCAGGACGCTCATCATCCGCACCGTTACTAATCGGACCCTCAGCCGGAGCCGAAGGATCCTCAGAGTCGGAGGCGTAGAGAGCACTCGAGTTCCAAGGATGCCGAGAGACCAAGTCCGTGCGAGCGTCATCCGTAGTGTTCACCGGGTCAGTGGTATTGCAAGCCGATACTGGGACCAGTGCTTGCTCATCTCCCAGGCTTTCGAATATCCGGTGGACCCAGATACCTCCAGACCGAGAGAGAACCGACACATGAGACACAGATTCGGGACAACTGTCTGCGGCCATGACCCAAGAAAGAATGTCCTCGTCCGTTTCCTTTGGGCCCGCGATAAGACGATCCATCTCCTCGTCAAAGGAAGATGAATCGTCCTCGCCCACAAATTGCACACGTGCAATCTGCGGTTGGCCCTCGAGAAACTTCAGAGTCCAGTAAATCAAGGTATCAAGTCCGGAGCGCGATTGTCGTTGGTAAGCAATCAAAGCCCAAGGGATTTGTACCATACACCAAACACAGATGAACCACAACGTGGTGAGGAAGCCAAGGTGCTCGATCTTGGGTCTAATCACGATGGGGTTGATAAACCTCTGGGGTGCAGAGGATGTCACTCCCCCATCGCAAGACCGAGGCAAGACCGAGATGGGTACCGGGAACGGGGTTGGAAACCCAGACGGCATCTCATCAACCAGACCAGGCCGGATGATGAGATCCGTTTCAAGGCTAAGAACCAGAAAGTCCGTTGAGACGAGCACAAAGCCCGTCGAGTTTGCATACCCATGGCCAACGTGAGAAGGCGACTCCCATACAGGATGCTCGCCCTGGAAAACACCGCGCTGGGAGGCGGCAGTGTCCACCAGGTCACAGAAGGCCCACGACTCCACCGTCAGCTGGAATGAACCAGCCAGACGCCGCACGAACGACTGCTCTGGAGTAGTGAACCCCGGGATGGGGAACCACTGACTCCAGAGAGTCATGCCCACGAAGATCCCCAAGAAAGGGATCAACATGTTGAAATTTTTTATTTTTTTTTCTGCACAGGGAAGAGACAAAGTCATTAGCATATGCCAATACGAGACAATGGAAAGAGTCTGAGGTCTGAGATGGTAAGGTCTTACTTTTTTAAAAGAAAAAGAAAAAAAATGCCGGGAAGGCGAGGAGAGCAGAAAGAGCAGGAAGGTAACAGCGCAGGGGGCGCTGTTGAAAGCTGTGTTGGTGACTTGAGAAGAGAAGAGAGAGAGAGAAGAAAGAAAGAGAAAAGTGAGGGGGGAGGGGGATTTATAGGAGACACTGGGTGAGACCCTGGATCCCCAGAGGAAGGAACGATTGCCAAAAATGGAAGGAGGATTGCCAAAAATGGAAGGAAGGACTGATAGAAATGAAAGGAAGGACTGATAGAAATGAAAGGAAGGATTGATAGAAATCGAAGGAAGGATTGATAGAAATCGAAGGAACAATTGACACGAATGGGAGGAACAATTGGCACAATGGACACAATGGACACACGTTATGTGTCTCGACCATTGAACTTCCATTTCGGGAAGGGGTGACTAGCAGGGACGAGACAACACATTGTCCCCCAGGGCCAACTATTGAGCCTATTGAGCATGTTGCAATCTAAAATAGAGCCACTACTGAAAAGGGACCAAACGACTATTCAGCCTTAAGCTTGTTATCAAGACCAAGAGTACATTGCTGCAGGCTCTGGGCCTTGATACTTGGCTTCATAGATACTGGCTTGGGTCCATTGTGTAACTTGCAAACCAATAATAGCCTCACTGTTTCATTCCAACACTCGCATCGTAGATCATGAGAGATACATTGGGGATTAGATATGCCTAGCTACAAACACTATGAATAGCTGTAGTCCACCTAGTCAAAATATCGACCTTTGGGGGGGGGTTAGCTGTCTAGTCTCTTACTTTATATGGCATTGTGCTTGCCAGATCTAGTGCTGGCTCTATTTCTACCTTGTATAGATAGTACGACCGGAGTGACACCTTCTTCGTCGTCGATATGGCCATGGCATCGATGTGTCTCCGTGGGGGTGACACCGGTACCCCAGATGAGAACACCGGAGTCCTTGGGGAAATGCACAACAACTCAAGTCAACCAAACAGCACTTGTCAATCACCAGAATTGCAAATCACGGATGATCCAGGCTTTTCGGTCACCATCCCCAGACCAACAGGTGCTAGTGGACGTTCCGCAACCCGATTCCCTGTGACGATGACGGCCTCGATTGTCTCTTGCCCTCGTGCTCACGATCATTTACCGGTCTGAAACCCCTGCTCCGCCCCCAGCGAGTCGACAACGATAACCGCGGTGGAGGTTCACATGTCTGCTTTATGGCTACAATAACCCCTGGGGGTGTTCCAGGTACACTGTGATATGGATCCAGATGAAGCCACAGGGACTGACGAGCTCTTCGTCTGACAGGACCCGGAAGACCTTAATTTAAGGAGATTCTACTGTCAAATGTCCAGCTTGTCTGTGGAGTGTCATAACGATTCTGTATAGTGCAGACCAACATCAATTCAGGACGGATCACATCTTCGAATGGGTGTATTACCCCACCTGCTGACGAGCACTCCATCCTCGTAGCACTGCTCGAATGACTCTTTACCTCGTTCATTCTTTTATGCTCTATAAATTCCCCAGCATGATTGGTCTTTATTATGCCCTCTTTTGCACAATGGCTTTGATTGTACTCTTTGTTTCTTTTGTTCCTATATTCAGCTGGTTGGAACTATATAAGAATACTCGATACACCGCATCGTTTAAAGAACAACATCTCAACGATCTCACAAGAGACCCGAGTCGGTAAATAAGCACTTTACATACTCTTCCTCGACCTCAACTATTTTAGTAAGCTTAGAGCTAACTTCATCGCAATGACTCCCAAGTACCCCGGGTTTGAGCCGCAGGGCGATAGCTTACGACGATGGATGGAGGATGCTGATGAGCCTGGATGCCCTATTCCTAGGACCACACTTACTATCGACGACATTGATCCTAAGTTCTGGATTGTCGGTATCATCCCGCAGTTCCTTGAAGACGACTGGAGGTACTGGGCCGGTATTTTTGGCCTACCAGTTGATGACCCAGCAAGTAACCAGGAAGCTATTTATCGATTACAATCAGCCGTTAAACACAAAGGCGATCTTACACTTTGGATTGGTCGAACGGGACCAGGCGTGATATTCATGGACGATCTCAGGAGACAGCAGGTTCCCACGAACTTTTACATGTCCGAGTTTGCCAAGGCTTTCTATGAGTCTCATTTTCCTCTAGAGACCCTGAAGTACGTTATTGTTACTGATATCCGTCAAAAGCACACCAAGCCCTTCATTCAGGATCATATTTACAAATCCCGAGAGGGGCTGGAGTTTCCGCCCAAGGAGCCGCAAACTTGGGAGGCTCCTTCGCCGGAGTTTTCGGGCATTCTTGGTACTCCCATTGGTAAAGTTGTCGCGGCCTTTGTCTTGTGTGCATATGGTCAGGGAGTGAAACGGATTCCACGGATCGTGACATTCCATACCGGTGAAAACTCGAGTAAATACAACCTTCGGTTTGATATTGAGGATGTCTGATAATTTACCTTGATAGGCGTGGCTAACTCTCAGCAGCTGTTTTATCAGATATGGATGATTTTTTCTTTGGCGAGTGGGTGATTATATGTAAGCACTACTGACATTGTTCCAAGGTTATTAAGGGTGTGTTTATCTGCTATTTCAGTTGTGACATAAATGAATCTATCTATTTCGAAACAATCTTATTATGTAGAAGACATCCCATGGGACCAATAAGAGCATGAAATTGGTCTGGGTTCTGAACCCTGTAAAAACCGTTCATTTTCGACTCTTTGAATCAAGCCACCCTATACCTAGGTAGCCAACGAGGTGGCGGGATAAAGAGCGAATATCAAGTGGTCGTCGTAAGTATTATGTGTTTTGAGATAGTTTGACCGAGATGTGGATATTCCAAGGTTAACTTGTAGACGATTCATGGATCCGATCATTGTGTTAATAAAAGACTATGCCCTTGGCTGCTGCCTACAGGAGCACTCCTTCATTTTTTGCCCTTTTTTTTCTTTCTTTCGATTTGTATATACTAAACTTCAAATTTTGTTCCTTCAACCTGCTATATAAACCTGCTATATACACTTGAATTGACCAATGAAATTCTTACTTCTTCTGTAGTGTCGATGACAAGCTTTAAACTAAATCCATGGACCCGATATCGAAGCCACATCGATGCTATTTTTGGCATTGCTTTGTCAAATGCGACACAACCTGTAATTGGTGGATAGACTTATGTATATGTAGTGTTCAAACAATTGAGGGTTGTCTTGGGAAAAACATGGCCAATGGGATGGTTACATACAGAGACAACACATCAGATTGTAAATCTGAAGTATCGGGCACTTGCTTTGAAGTTTATTTCTTTTTCTTTTTTCTTTTTCTTTTTCTTTTTCTTTTTCTTTTTCTTCTTTTTTTCTCTTTTTCTTTCATCCCCTCTCTTTCTTCAACACTCGTTTCATCTACACCCTAGTCTAGCACCAGGGCATAGACATCTACGGTTCCCATATCGCGGAGGCTCTCTCCTCCATCATGCACTGACCCACTTACGATTCAAACTCCCATAGCAACACCAACTGCAATTACCCCGATCTTACTCAAGCCTTCTTTCTATTCTATTCACAATGGGACTCTCTAATGCAGCCGTCATTGTCATCGTCCTCGTCGCCTGTCTCGCAGCAACCGCACTGGGAGCATCGCTCTTTAAGCACTACAAACCTGCCGAAGGAGAGACCCCGTTCAGCCCCGGCTACGAGCAGAAAGTCTACATGGCCGAAGTGCGAGCTCGAGGGTTTGAAAGTCTGAGGCAGATCTCCTGGGGTAGACGAGACCTGGAATCTCGTTGTATGTTTCTGTGATTTCTTGCTCTGATCATCCCGCTGACATTGATTAGATCCTCTGGCGGGGCCGAGCTACTACCGCCCCCACACCTACACCGAAGACACCAACACCTACACGAAAGACACAGGGAGCAGCTCCTAACTTCTCCTTTTCTTTGCCCTTTTCTCACACTCACAAATCACACGGATATTTTCTGGGATGAACACGGGCGTTACACAAGGGAGAACTGGCGTTACATGGGGTTACAGTGATGATGGGTTCTTTTCGGGGGAAAAACACTGAGATGTGAATGGGTTCGGGTTTCAGGGGACTAGGCATATGCTTCGGGGTGATATTCTGATTCGGTCGGCCATGGTGGTTCGGACAATTTATCGTTCGAAATTATGACTTTTTATGGTATGAGGTGGCCCTGGATCTGCGCGCAACTCGTCTCAAAATTATTGCATTGCAGCGGATTTGCTTACATCTGTATTTGATATTCACAGTATGGCTCGAATAGAATCGAAAAAAAAATTATTTACATCTTTAACAAAAATGAAGCAATTGGGTGATCTGGAGATAGCTCTCGAGCTTTAGCCTTGGGTTGGGTGACGTCAAGATTAACCGAACTAGATATCCTCGAATTCATCAAAGACATGGTCAAATCAATCTCCGGTTCCAATTTGAGGGCGAATCGCACAAAACCACACATGTCAGATCAGCGAGGCCTCATTCCACCAGCGGGCCCGTTGTCTCGGGCCCTGTGAAATTTCTCGCTGTGGTTCATCGTTCCGCAAGGAACAGGGATAATAGCAGTGATACTCTATCGACTAAGTTACCAATTCAATGGGCTAACAACTCTCGCGACGATCTTATGGATCTACACCATCGTCTAGCTCGGTTTATTCCTCGTCCTCTATCTCTTACGCACATTCCTACACCCAAGATATGTCCTACATCAGCTACGGAACAACGGCGCCGAAACACTCTGCCTCTGCTACACCCCCATCGCCTTCACCTCAATCCTCCAGATGGCTGTCTTCAAATACGGAGACATAGCCGGATTGGCCATTTACATCCTGTGGTGGGTAAACACGGGCACGGACATAATCACCTGTATGGTGAGTCCATTCATGTGCCACAAGATGCAGCAGTCGGGCACACAGGCCTACATGCTAATGCCATTTCTTGTGGTATTGACCTCTAACGCAGGCAGCGGGGTTATCTGTCAGCCTGCGCGTATCGGTCCCCTACTCCAGGTCTCTGCCATCATCATCTCCCACCTCAAAATCGGGGCCGGCCTTAACCTCGTTAATTCGTTCGTCCGTTCCAGATAGCGGACATGGTGTACCACGATATGATTATGTACGGCCCTTACGGACAGGCTTCGGTCGCGCTCCAGGCTTTGGGCGAGGCGGTTATGGCCGGTAGCTTTGCGGGGTATGATCGCGGTCAGCTTCTGACTGCGAAAGCGGCTGGTCCCTTTGCTTTCATCGGCCATTTTATCGGTCTTCTTGTCTGTGTTTTCCACTGCCCTTTTGTTGATGCTCGTACTCGTATGGGTCATCATACAACTCCTGACCATGAAGGGCATCGTGACAGGGCGAGTCTCGGGGCTGGATCACGGATGGAGAAAACGATATGACGATCGACGGCCTGCAATAATCAAAGAAGCGTGAAACATCCCAATGCCTCCGGTTGGGTTCCGGAATCTCGTAGTATCACCATGTAATATTGGCGGACAGCATGTTCGACTCCACCGATCTTCAATCACAGCCCTGGAGGGCACTCGGGGTCTGCCTTATTATAAATTAAGCTATTCACTTCCGAACATCCGCTGATGTCATCAGATTGGAAAAAATGTAGACCACCAGACAGCTTTCGGCACTACAAACAGCCGACTCCTATAGGAGTTTTTCCCTTCTTTTTTTTTTTTTTTTTTGGTGGGCAAACTTCAAAAGCACTTGTAAATTCGGTCATGTTTTGTGGGGGCCATTTATATACATTTGAGCCGGGATTTCGTTAAGGGTCGTTATTTGCCAGGGGGTTGAGGCTGTGAATTGCCCGGCCGCCCGGCTCGGAATCTCTCCGTCGCTCAAAACGGCGAACCACAAATCTCTACGACCAAGTTACCTAACCCTAATGGAGTAACTAATGGAGTATGCAGTAGACTAATATTGTTGTGCCTTAAAAATATGACTTGGAGAGCCTAGGGCCAATGGCCTCGAAAATTGTAGATGCCTAATCTACAGATTTTCAGAAGACGGCACAAACAACAGGTTTATACTCTGTATGTGTTGAATGTCCCAGGCAGCCAAGATATGGTGGTCTTTTTAACCATAAACCCCCCCGTACTCGTACTAGTATCCAGATTTGCTGGATTCGCTGGATTTGCTGGATCCACCGCATTTTCCCGGGCTCGTGCACGTTGATACGAATACGGCCAAGGCTGACTAGCTACATGTATTTATACTAAGATATATTCCTTTGAGACTTTTTAGCTCTCAGGTTTCAGTTCTTCACTCTCAGACTCGGCTCCTTTTTTATATATTATTGCGATTCTTCAACTCTTGAGAGAGAACAATATGGACTTTGCTATGGAGTCCCCAGATACTATGCCAAGCTATGATAGCGACACAGCAAGCGAAGAACGGTATGTGAAAAATACTTCCGAGAAGAAGAGCATAAATATAATCTCTTTTCTTCTTCGGGGAATTATGTCTAATTTATCCTTAGACCATCATCACAACCTGTCAACACCAAAATCCAAGCCAAGTTCCAAATTGCCCGGCCGCCCCCAAAATCAAGTCAACTACTTCGACTCAGTCCTAAACTACTCCTTCAAATCCAACAACTACCTCCAAACCACCGACCAGTGCCTGTACTAGAGATATGGCAACCACCCCTCCGCAAGTCAAAATTGACAAGGGGTTTCCCACAACGCCCAAAACTCGGCGCGAGGGATATCTACGCAACCCTCAATGAACCATATATCATCAATAAGCAGCCAAATGAACAAGACCGCCCCAAAGAACCAGATTCACTATCATATAATATCCAAGAAAAGGATATCGTCGCCGCAATGTGCCAACCATCAAGCAGCAACAACCCCACATCATCATCAATCCACTTCCGCGACACAAGATGCATCTGGCAAGCCAGTCCCAGCCCAACAGGTCCCGATAAAGGCACTAGCTACAGATTCGTCATTAAAAAGGAAGATAACACAACCGACTCCGAGCAGTGTCGGATGATTATGCAGTGGGAAAAACGGGAACTCGCCGGGTCTTCAGATAACGAACAATTCGTTCTCTTGGCGATTGACCGCAAGACGCGTCGGAAGAGTCGCATTGCGACGATGACTCGGGCTGGATTCGATATTTCTGTGAAGAAGAGTTCGATTTTGGATCATCTTCGTACTTGTTTGGCGTTGACGGAGCCTGTTTCTGAGGGCTCGACGGATTTGGAAACTTGGGTGTACAACCTTGTGTTGACGTTGGGTGTCACGGTGGCTTCACAGGAAGGCTGGTTGGGTTGATTGTTTTTAATTACCTGGGAAAGATTTGTATGCACCTAGGTCTAGGTACCTCGAACAGTTTCTAGATTATACGAATATTTCTCCCGATTGGCTACTTTTCTATATCCAATCGGAACCCTTTAGAATGCCATACGATGTATACGAAAGCACTTGGATTACTAGTGCGTAAGTATATTGGATTCATTGTCATAGACCGGTTGCAGCCGTAAATAGACATACAATATACTTAGGCATAAATATTCTTCTTCTCGCTGGTGCCTTCGCAGTCGTAAAACCCCGCTTCTCGGTGAGTAGCTACCAAGTAGTCAACCCCTCTTCCAGTGCTTTGATCTGCAATGCCAGCAGACGTGAGTAGTATCTGCTCAGAGCGAGGTTCCCACCCATAAACCAGAATCCAGGGTGACCACTCCGTCGCCAAATAGTCCGCATTTCACCCTCCTTGTCAAGACCCCAGATATCACCAACCCTGTCAGCGACCGTGTCACCGAAGATCACACGAGTCTCGGTTCTCATATTCTGATACCCAGTGGCGAACACAATTTCATCGGCTTCAAGCTCGGAGCCATCCGCAAACCGAAGTCCATGGGGGAGAACTTGGCTAATTTCCTGTCCGTGCTTCACCTTGACCTTCCCATCGATAATAAGCTGGCTTCCACCGACGTCAATGTAATACCCGCCTCCGCGCTGGAAGTACTTCATTAATAGACCGCTATCCAAGGGTCCGTTGTCGACCTTGAAGCCTGCCTTTTCCAGCCCTTCGATGGTCTTTTCGTCGTTCTGGTTCGTGAGCTTCGTGATTTTGACCTGCTGTGCTTTAAACAGACGCGAAGGAACGCTCCATAGATAAAGATCGGCGTCTTCGGCTGGGGGACCGGTCCCATCATAGAGCCCTTTAAATGCAATTTTCAAGGTAGAGTCAGACGATACCACACAGGTAGAGCTTCGCTGCACCATGGTCACATCGTACCCTTTCTCGACAAAGTCCTGGGCAATATCGTTGGCCGAGTTACAAGATCCAACGACAATGGCTTTTTTCCCCTTTGACTCGGAATTCGCACCAGGATGTTCCGAGCTGTGACACATGCGATCTCCCTTGAAATCCTCCATCCCTTTGAAAACGGGCAGGTTTTTCTTACCAGAGTGACCGGTAGCTTGGATGACATGGCGTGGGTGCAAAGTACGCGTCTCAGTTCCGCTGTCTGTCTTGCGCTCAAGAACAACCGTCCATTGCTTCTTGTTCTCGTCCCAGGATGACGATTTGATCTCGGTTTGGGTCCAAACATTGAGCTCTCGGAACTTCACGTAGGTTTCAAAGAAATCCGCCAGCTTATCTTTTGGTGTATAGACAGGCCAGTCGGGTGGGAAGGGAAGGTATGGCATGTGGTCGTACCACACTGGGTCATGGAGAACGAGCTGGTGGTATCTCTGACGCCAGTTGTCTCCGATTCTCTCTTCTCGGTCGACGACGAGGGTGTCAACTTGGAGCATCTTGAGACGTGCTGCAGCAGTCAACCCACCCTGTCCAGCGCCTTCATTTGTCAAGTCAGCTTTTATACTTCTAGAGAAGGCTTCATCTGCACATACCAACGATCAACACTGCCGGGTCCTTTCCTTCGAAGTTGATCTCATCGATTCGTCGATCATTCCAGTTCTTTCGGCCTTGCTGTTCGCCATGTCGGACGCCGAACGGCCTCTCCTTGTTCTCCTCATGGCCCTTTAACTCGACCATAGAAGTGAAGACGGTGAAAATGTACCACTTGCCATCATGTTCCGCTAATCGTATAATACCATTTCCCCGTCCATTTTCGGTGGTAACCTTGATGTTGAATTCGATTCCGAAAACATCACCAAAGGAATCAATGGGTGCCTTGTGTGGGGATTTGGAGTCAGACGATCGGTCGATTTTGATTTTACTGGGTGGTGCCTCGGTGACAAAGGCAGCAATAGCCTGACTCCCCTCGAGAGTGTGGAAGTCCCACGAATAGCACAGGTGGTCGCGCCAATAGCAATTTTCGAGGAACAGAGATGCAACCGCTGCCGTGTCTCTGGCCAAGAGACCCAGGTTTAGTTGGTTGATGATATTGTCTGCAATAGCATTCGGGTCTAAGGGGAGATCCGACTCGGACTCCGACATTGTCTTGGGGAATTGGCCGAGTTCGATGTTGCAGGAACCCGGCACAACTCGCTCTCGCGATGGCGGTAGGTCATTGGGATTTTCCATGTTGATTTGAGTGAATTGATTTCCAATGGAGGGTATTGGGGAGCTGACACGAGATACAGAGAATGGGAAACAACCCCTCACTTCTTATTTCACAGCCCCGCATTCTGACAACACAGACCATGTCCAGATGTCGGGCAGTTTCACTAGTATCAACTGCAGAACGCCGGACTCTTTCGGCCCTAGTTTACCCCACACCCACTAGTCCCATTCCCGGGGTCTATGGATTAATACCACATCTTAACGGATTATTTTGGTAATGTATTTGGATTATTTTTTAGCTCCCTTTGGTAGCATTCCATTACTATAGGAGGTGATATATTTCGACTGATTTATAGAATTCCGTTGTTTGAGATTGGACCGAACGGAAGTGTCGAAATTGGGATTATCGGTATGTAGGTACATAAACAAGCGAGATTAGCGAATTAGCACTTGGTGTGACGTGTATGATTGTGGACAACTGTTGGCTATGAGCGATATTCGTCGTTGTGTGCAACCGGTCATGTATGTATGTAGTACAACAGCCAGTTCCGAAATATATATAGCCCGAATTCTCTTCCTAATAGGTAATGCTATCCGCAAATACATTTTCTGATCATCAATTTGTTATTTAAAGCAGTCAAAGAGGGTTTCATATTCATTGACGACTGATTTCCTGAAAAGAATATCAAAGTTATATGTATTTTCGCCGTGAAGATTTAGGAAATCGCTTCTGTTCCGGTAGAAATCGGAGAACAATATTTCAGGAATATGTAGCGTAAGAGTGAAAGCGATTATATCAACTAGCATCATTGGTCTAGTGGTAGAATTCGTCGTTGCCATCGACGAGGCCCGTGTTCGATTCACGGATGATGCACTTCTTTTTTTTTTGTCTCTTGTCTTTTTTTTTTCAATATTCTTGATAGAAATTGACTCCTTCCTTTTTTTTTTCTTTTGTAACATTCTTTTTTCACACCCTGCGCGTAGAAGACCAATTCATAATCCAGAACCTCGAGTCTATTTACACCCCCCAAACGGATGGATCAATTTCCCCAAATCGGTCCGATGCTAGAGCTCCTGTGGGCTCTCGAAACACTCTTGAACTTCCCTGGTCTGAAGCGGTCGCGTCAGCTGATTATACTTGATTCGATATCTACTGTCTCTTAAAGCTCATCTCTTTTCAATATTCAATATATGATACGAACAAAATGTGGACATATTATCCAATAACGAGCCTCCGGCTAGAGCAGCTTGAAAAGCTCACACCAATCACCAAGGAAATCCCGAGAGACATTGTGGCTAACCCCCAACTTGAATATGAGCAGAGAAAGTCCTACAAATAGTGCTTTCCCCTCCCATCATGATTCTGAAGTACTTCAAGTACTATGTTTAACAGCAAGCTTTGAACGTGCGGAACCTCTGTCATGTCTACTACAGAGTAAGATAGTTTCGCCGACTTAGAAAGTTGGCTTTGCAGGCTTAGGAATGCCCGTGCCTTCCAAGTTTGATGTAAGTGCTTGTGTGGGAAGGAACCTGGGACGCATCTCTAGGAAAGAACACCTGGAGTACTTCAAACCTTGCAAGAGCACTTTTTCTTGTAAACAACTCTGCACACTCTCAGCATCGACCTCTATTCTCCACATCAATCACACCTAAATTGGCGATATTTTGATATTTGCGTCATGACCGATTCCGAACCTCCAGTAAGTGGACTGTGGACCTGATCCCCTGGAGACATCATCCCAACCTGTTCTCTACGGCTCCAATGGGTCTTCATGTGTGGTTGGGATACACCCAATGATTGTATGTTGACGAGTCATTGGAACATACACTGACTACGATAGACCATTTGCACGTACTGCTACATTCCCGGTCACAATATGGCCGATTGTCATGTCCGGGCCAGATTCGCGGCCACGAAACGCGTGTCCGTGACCAATCCCGTAATATCCACACAGACATATCCTCTACATCGAAGGGAAATATTGATTTTGGATGTAAACGTATCAGATCAAAAAGAGGAAGAACAACCGACGTGGTCGTCGAGGTGGCAAAGCGAAGAAAGCGCAGAAAGCAAAGGAAGGCAGGGAAGCGAAGGAAGCGAAGAAAGGTATGTCTTGTCGACTTGTCGCGCAGAATAACATCCATGTGCTTATTATGAGGCCAATCAGTCTCCCGTGGCACTCAGTCAGACTTGGACACTGCGTCTGGTACCTCCGCCTCGGGCACTGCCCCATCCTTGACCTTCATTGGCGAGGTTCTTACCCAGGAGGAAGCTGAATTCCTAGATTTCTGCCTTCGGCAGTTCCGAGCGCCTCGGTAAGAGCCCGACATAGTCTTTTATATGTCGGATGAGGAGGGACACTGGGGACGTTGATGTGAGGAGAAGTGACCGTTATCTGAAGTTGGGGTGAGATTCTCTTCTTTTGCTCAAGGTTTAGGTAAAATTAGCCCGGGCGATCTGGACTTACCATGAATGTGAGAGAAACTTTTGTCCTTCGGGCCCTTTGAAACACCTCTTTCCTGTAGTAATAGAACGGTAGGTCTGTATCAATATCATATTAAAGTAATATGATGCCCGAAAGTTCAAGTCTTGTATTCATTCCTCTTAAATCCGATTTCTCTCTCCATACCAATAATAAAGTATATCACCTGAAAAGTATGAATTCTTTCAATTAATCAGTCAATCGATATTCATTGGCTCGATCTATGTTCCTTTACATATGCTTCGAGAATACGTGGGATAGTAAACCTCTGCCTTTCATACACCACACGTAGTTAACTGTCCGTGCTATGCCAGCAGGCCCATACAGGCCTCGGCCTCGGTCTGATTTCTATTTTAGATTCTACGGTGTTTCTAAGTTGTTTCGAAGGTGTTTCGAAGGTGTTTTTACCCGACGTAATTTCCTGTTGTATATTGTTTTTTAACAAATTCATAGTCTAATTGGCATTGACACAATTAAAGCTTAACTCACGAAAGACAGATAAATATAGGTTTGGCAGTGCAGTATACAGGACAAAGCGTATACAGTTAAACCCGTCTATTCCTCTTTTGGAAAATTCTCACGAGCTTACATTCTAGACCTCCAGGGTCGAGGGCTGAATTCCCCCTCCAGTCGAAACACGGGGAAAGTTTCGTGTCACTCATTCTTCCTTTAATGATTCCCATACCATAATATCTTCACTGCAATATATCGATGTGATTATAACCTGAAATCATCATGAGTCGGGCCCGGCGTCAGATTCTAGGCGCTTGCCTCGGGGTTTTCCTATTGCTCCTGTTTTACCGCTATCATCGCACAAACGACGGCGTTCATCCCTCGACCACTCCACAGGCTGCACCCGAAGTCATTCTGAAATTTAAAATCAACCCAAAATATTTATGGAGAAAAATACCCGTGCGATACCCAGTTACTGAAGTCCAGCAACTACCCGTCACACCGCAAAAGACGCTACCAAAGGTCCAATCGGCAGACTCCAAAGTATCCCGTCTCAATTTGGACACGAGGCAGTCGGCCGCGAAAGAAGCCTTCGAACGATGTTGGAAGTCATACCAGTCGCTTGCTTGGGGCGCAGATGAGCTTGCGCCTCTCAGTGGTAGTCCGAAAAATATGTTGGGGAAATGGGGTGCTACCCTAATTGACAACCTTGACACACTGTGGATTATGGGGATGCACGATGAATTCAAGAAGGCTGTGGCTGTGGTCGCAAATATCAAATTTGAAGATGCACAGCCCTCCGAAATTAATACCCATGATTTCAACATCCATTTACTCGGAGGCCTGCTGGCGGCATTTGATCTCAGCGCTGATCAGAAATTGCTAGAAAAGTCCATTGAGTTGGGTGACATGCTTTACGTTGCCTTTGATACCCCAAACAGAATGCCCATCATACATTGGAATGCAAATAAAGCTGCCCACCGAGAGGAGCAGATTGCGGAGGAGAATGTACTCGGTGCGGAACTGGGCTCGTTCATATTGGAATTTACAAGGTTGTCTCAGATCACCGGAGACCCAAAATACTTCGACGCGGCCCAGCGAGTCATGGAATTGTTTGATACGAAACAGGATACCACCAAACTGGCAGGGCTGTGGCCTGTCTCCGTGAATGCCAAAGAAGAGCTTTTCGATGACGATACCTTCACGCTAGGCGCCGAAGCCAGCTCTCTATACAAGTCGCTACCTCGGGCGTACGCATTGCTAGGAGGGAAAGTGCCCATGTATCGCAAGATGTACGAGAATGCCACGCTTACAGCCGCAGGCCACAATGTATTCCGACCAATGAACCCCGAGGGCAAGGATGTGCTCCTTTCTGGTACTGTTAGAGTGGCCATGACAGATAATGGGAATTCGCAAACACACCTAGAGTCCCAAATGCGATACCGATCTTGTTTTGCGGGAGGTATGTTTGCACTAGGAGGGGCACTACTCAACATCCCCACCCACCAAGAAATCGCCCATAAGTTGGTTGATGGATGCATTTGGGCTCATCGGGTCGTACCACTGGGGATTATGCCCGAAGCGTTTGACGTAGTTCCATGTGCATCGCAGACAAACTGCCCATGGAGCGAGTGGCTTTGGAAGCAAGAGGTGTGGAAAAAGGCGAACAGTCTCGAGCCAGAACCAAACCCAACTCTGAACGTCGATAATTTCATCAAAGAACACCGTCTGCCCAAGGGGTTCATCGGAATCTCGGACACTGCTTATAACTTGCGCCCGGAAGCGATCGAAAGCATGTTTACCCTCTACCGCATCAGTGGACGCGAAGACCTACTCGATGCGGCCTGGAATATGTTCCAGGCGATGCAAAGTGCGACGCAGACGAAGAATGGAAATGCTGCCATCGTTGCTGTCACGGATGAGGGTAGCGAACTGACTTTGAAAGACTCGATGGATAGCATGTGGATGTCGCAGACACTCAAATATTTTTATCTCATGTTCAGCTCTCCAGACTTGATTAGTTTGGATGAGTTTGTTTTCAACGCTGGAGGGCACCCGCTGAAACGTCCCAAGACATTATGACAAGTGATGTTGAAGGGAGTGCATTTATTCTACACCATGATCGCTCTTTTTCTTTTTCGGTTGGTTGGCTTTCTTGTTACAGGCGTTGGTGACTGATATAGTGTTTTACTGTATACAAAGCAAGGCGTTATGTTTGGCTAGATCTTCTGTGCTAGTTGTAATAGTGTGGGGTCACACAGTAACACATAGTGACACATATTGACTCATTGAATTCAGAAAGATAAAAAGCGAATGAGATTGATCTAAAAACCCATAGATATAGAACACACTTTACATGTACATTCAACATGACCACCATCGAATTTACAAGGCTGCGACCAGCCAACCAGCCAATACCAACGTCAACACCCCTGTCTATCCTCGACGCAACAGTCGTGCGCTTTACTCCAACAGGAGCAATTTGGATTTTCAACCAACCCACAGAATTAGATCAGAAGACCTTGGTTGACAATTTGCGTATCTCCTTCATTGAAACCCTATCAAAATTCCCTCAATGGGCAGGCCAACTCCAATGGGCACCCGTCAACACCAAAGGAGACCACACAGAGCGATTCAACCGTCCATTGATTACATACGGCACTGCCACCGACCCAGGAGTCGAATGGACAGTAATTGAGCATCCCTTCCGGGCAGATGAAATCGTCCCGACAGCGTCGGAACGGGCTTCATCTTCATCAACCACCAGCTCCCAACCCGGAGCATGGGTAGGCGATGACTTCGACCAAAACCTCTTCCTACCATCCAACCCACTGGCACTGGCCAATCTGCGCGACTATGCCGGTCTGCCAGCAGTGCAAGTCCAAATCACTCTTCTCCATGAAGGAGGATACGCCATCGGAATCCAGACGGCGCACTGTCTAGCAGATGCACAAACTTTAATGGTATTTGTGCATTTATGGACATATAACAGCAGAAAGAAATTTGGAAACCAGCCCGAATCACCATTAATGGGCGAGCCCGTGTTCGATCCCGCGTTGCTGGACAGCTGCGCCGCAGGTGACATCGACAGGTCCGAGCCCGACGAAACGCTCGTACAAACCGCGCGAAAATTACCCTTGCATCGGTATAGCTGGTGGAATGTCGCCGACGAGGGCGGTCCTGAATTTTTAATACCCACGACAGAGAACTCCAAACCGCCACCTTCAGAAATCAACCACGAACGAATCTCGCCCTCCGAACCAGCGCCCTGGGCTTCATGGGATTTCTCTAAAAAAGTCAGATACACACAGTTGCATTTCACAGGTGAAGAGCTACGCAAATTCCAAGCTATGGCCCTCAATGTCCCGGGCGGTCGACGTGATATCTCTAGACTAGACGCTTTACTCGCACACCTGTGGATAGCCATTACACGAGCACGCGGACAGGCCTCGTCCCCAAGACCCGTATATATGAATTTGAGCCTCGGCGCCCGACCGCGTGTTTGCCCCGCTCTTCCTGATACGTTCATCGGATCCCCGCTGTTCCTGACTTATGTTGGTGGGGCCGCTTTTTCGGTATGTCGGGAAAGATTAGGCGAGACGGCTAGTCGGATTCGGGAGACCATGATGGGGTTTACGGCTGATGCTGTTGGTGCGATGTTGCATGATGCTGCTCATGAGGTGTCGCCGCAGCGGCTGTGGCAGGCGTTTTTGGGGTCTGAACATACGATTGTTACCTCGTGGTTGCGGTTGCGGTTGTATGAGGTTGATTTTGTGGGTGGGGATAAGCCACGCTATGTGCATGCTGCTATGCCTAAAATGGATGGGTGTGTTCAGGTGATGGATAGTGCGGTCGAGGATGGGGGCATGGATGTTGCGCTTTATCTTGACGAGATGGCTACAGGGAGGTTGCTTGATGAGTACTGGTCTTGAGGTTGAGCTGTGAATTTATTTTTAAAATTCATTTCATCGGACTGGAAGCGTATATTGGTTTATATTTATGTAGTCTGGACCCCCAAATGCAAATAACAGGTATTTAAAATTTATACAAAAGAATAATTAAAGATGGACATGGAGAGTAGTAATACCTACGCACTCATTGAAAGTGCCCGATGCCGTGATGTCCGTTTCCGACAATCGGCATCTCGACTCTTGCGGCCCATTCGGCCAAGAGACATGCTTTCAAGAGTCTCGGGTTTACCACCCCAAAGTTTGGCTTTCCCATTCCGTGTTTGTTGAATTGGTGGAATCCAAAAGTGAGTGACTGCTGCACCAAGGATCATGCAGACGCTGAAGACAATGAGAACAATGCCGTGCTTGCGGGTTGCTGTGTTACCCGGGCCTGCACCAAAGTGATAGTATGTTGAGAAGATTTGCACGAGAATGGAGCCCAGTTTTCCGGCTCCAGCGCTGATGCCGTGACATGTTGCGCGGTATCGGGTCGGGAAGATTTCGGCAGGGATCATATATGTTGTTGCATTGGGGCCTGTGGATAGTTGGTTAGAATGATTCAAAGCGTCGTATCCTGGGCTCAACTTACCAAAGTTGAACATGATTTGGCCAACAATATACAGTGCCACCACAGCAGGAGGGCCGGTATAAAGAGTTACGAACATAGTTCCTAGGGCGATGAACAGAGCCGCTAGTCCGAGGAACATGTACTTCTGCAGTGCAACACGATCCAGCTTATGAGCAAAGATAATGAGCAGTATGCCACCGACAAAACTTCCGATATTGAGGATAATCAACCCGCGCATAGAGGTTTCCATGAACATCGTGTAGATGTTGGCATTTGGTGTATCGTCAGTCATCCAGGTCGGTGCCGCCTCGGAGATATTAAGTTGGCCCCACGTCTTGGCTAAGAATTGAGGACTCGACAATCCGATACCGTAGAAGCCGAAGTCAAGGAGGAGCCATGCGAGAGAACAACCAGCCAAGCTGCGCCAGTTCCCTTCCGTCCAGAAGTACCGCATGATGTCGGACCGTGCCAAGCGCCAGTGAGAATTGAGGGTGGCGGGAGGTAAGCGAGTAAACTCATCCTCGTCCTCATGATCAGAGGTCGAGTAGCTAGCAATAGATGAAATCGGGGGTAGTTGAATCGTGCTGCCGGCACTGCACGTAGCAGTGGTTCCCCAGCCCCCAGTATCAATCACACCGGGCGTGTCGCTGAAAAGCGTAGTTGCATCAAACTCCGCAGTGACGGGATCGTCCACGATATCGACAAGGTAACGAGGACTCTCTGGGATGGCGAACCGGAAAAGGGTAGCCACTGCACCAGGTACGACTCCGATGGCGATCACCCAGCGCCACATTATATCGACAGTGCGGGTGAGGTCTTCCCCAGGACTGCTATTACCCCGAGCTATCGCGATCACAACCAATGAGACAATGTTACCTGCGATCTGACCGAGTGGTTGCATGAAGAAGACGGTGGCCATCATGCGGGCGCGATGTTTGGTAGGGGCAAATCTGGACATTCTAAGGTCAGTTTTTCCTCCACAATTGGGGATTTCGAGATCGATCGACCTACTCAGATGTGATCACTGCACTGAGTGGATAATCCGCGCCAACTCCAATACCAACACAGATTCTCCACCAAATAAGCCAAGCAAAGACGTTCATGCTGCCGTCCACGCCTGTCGAGGACATAACCACACCCAGGGTGGCTGTAATGAGGAGTACCAACTCAACACCATACATCTTCTTCCGTCCATTTTTATCGGCTAGAAATCCGAATGCCACCTGGCCCAGTAGGGTTCCCCCAAGTGTCGCGATATTGATGAATGTGAGTCGTAATGAGGAAGTGTCGTCTCTCCAGTAGACATAGGATATCATCGGTAGGGCCACGTTACTGGCAAATAACTATGTCAAGCATTAGCCGATGTTGCATATGCGTATTTTCCACGTGGAAGGTGGGGTAACACACTGTGTAACCATCAAGGAAGAATCCAAGACCAGCGACTAACACCACAATCCATTGGAAATTTTGCCTGTCAATGGTCTCGTATATCTGTCGCATGCGGACATATCGATCCTATAATCGAATTGTTAGCCATCTTCCATGCCATGTTGCTCATCAACAAGTGGGGGACTCCATAGTTACCTGCTCATGGTCGAAGTCCCGCGCGCGGTCGGTTTTATACAACCGGGCGTGGAATCTGCCCATGGTGGAATAGGATATAGTAGTACTCCGTATATAGTTGGAAAGATTGAAGATTCCTACATTTCAAAGAATAGAAGATGTCTTTGTTTAGAGCCGGGGCTTTCAAGGTTAAACCAAAGGTTACAATTTGTCCAGGAGGCCCGTGTACCCCATGATCCTTGTAAAGGCTAATGCGAGACTAAGCGGCGAACCTTGGAACGAGCCAAAGTTTTAGGGTTGTTTTCTCCACGTGCGACATCTCTGATGCTTGACTTGTCGACCTCCCCAAAATGGACCCACAGGTAATGGGCAACCACGAGGGTTATTGTTCCCTTTTATCTCTTTATGAGACATCTGGAACCTTGGGGGTTGAATAGGGTTGAATATTATTATTTGTATTAGTTATATTTCTCTTGGTATATGAGCCATTTTTTATTCTAATTACTGTATGTTTATGTTGTACACATATGTCGTATATAATTATAACCAGTAAAAGATTCAATTCCAATTTCATTAACCCGCTCTCACGTGGATGCAATTCTATGTCTCGAAAAAGATCTCTTAACGCCCAGGGGTATCTTGGTATTATGTACATGATACATGTTTTGGCCCCCCCACAATTTCTCCGGGAACACCAACTCTATGTAAAAATTTATCGTAATAGACCTGAGAGATTTATAATGAATCAAGTCCTCGTGAACTATTCATCCAATCGTCAGGTCGTATGACAACATCTGACAAAATGTTGTACAGTCTGGAAAAGAGAGAGGAATAAGCCAAGAGTCCGAAATGAGCAAAACTTAAAAAGATGTGCACTGACCATCATCGTCAAGGAACTGAATCGTAAGATTTCTCATTTGAGACAGAATCTCGAAGTTCGGATTTAGATCGAGTAGGGCTGGCCGCCCGGGCTTCTTTGGGGGTTTGATCGAACCGATGCAATTCACTAGGGTTGTTAGCAACGTCACTGTGGCAGGGGGTTGGTGGATCTGGGCCTAGATAGAAGTGAGACAACTTACAGGGAATGGAAACGTATCGTTTGAGCTCCCTCCGTTGCGAGTTGGCAAAAAACAGCATCACTCGTTTCCCATTATGCCCCCGGAGGATGCGAAGATTTTGGCTGATGCACTCTTCACCCCGGCCTTTAGATTTGGCCTCGGCCATCCCGCCGATAAAAATCAACTTGGAGCCCAGTAGCAGTTCTTGAAATCGTATACAATCTGTGGGGGGGTTCAGCAAATGTTGACTCTCCGAGGTTCAGCGGTCGCGTACCATCCCAGTGATCAAATCTATATGATAATTGCGTCATGAATACTGTGCTTCCCGTCTGAACAGTTTGCTGGTCCATAAAGGACACGCGGAGAGGGTACTCGTCGCCTGATTTTGGATGCTCTAGGTGAGGGACGGGCAGTTTTGTATTGGAGACTATGCAAGATTTTTGAATGATCAGCATGCTATCTTTGGGAAATTATGCGAGACCACTCACAGCCATGGATAAAAGGTGTCTGCTGGCCTAATCCTCCCCCAAGTTCGAGACACCTCAACGCGCCCGTTGAGTCTTTGCAGATGTCAATAAATCTGTATTTCAGCTTGAATAACTGGCCGTTTTTGACGAATGAACTATAAACCAGTCAGCGCATTCTGATCGGACGGGAACCGTTTTTCTCAGCACAGACATTTGCACGGAAGGAGTCAACTCGAGTCGCACGACATCATCGTAGAACTGCCAGGATTGCTTTCTCGAGCTGGAACCTGGAGATGTCGTCGGGCTCGGGAAGAGGACACTCGTTGAGGCGGACGACACGGTGGAGGCTGACTGGGTGCTTTGGCGTCGATCTACCCACTCCTGGAAATCTCGAGGAGAGAAAGAGTCCATTCCGACTCTCTCGAAAGGTGACTTATAGAACTAAGGTGGGATAGGTAAGGTGGTGAGGGTACGACGATCGGGCGGATCCCGTCAAAAAAAAGATCGTCCAGGAACAAAAGTGGCATGTTTGACCATAAGAATTGTATCGGGCAGAAGATATACTCCCAGCCCTTGATATTAAAGAAACGGGAAATACAATGTGATCAAAGTAACATAATTGAATGTGGAGAGGGGGATGTGGAACGTGCTAAAATGGGTGGCTATCAGATCACGATGGGTTTCCACCCCATGGTTCTTTTCCCATGTGGTTTTGGTTGGATTCATTGGAACCGCCTTTAGAGTTGTTTTATATTGAAATGATGTAACTTCTATATTACATAGATTATCCGAACTTACCTCGCTATAAAATATTCCATACCCTAAACCTGTCCGAGATTAGTCCGGATCATCACTCCATACTACTACTAGGTAGATACTAAAGTTCATCATTCATCATTTTAAGATTTTTATGCACCATGGATTCTACCGCTCAAATTAAAACGTTGGAAGCTAAATTGATCCAGAATTACCCAGAATCCTTCTGGAATATTTACCTACCTACCTAGGTAGGTATCTAGAGATCCATTGGTTCATGCCGATCACCTGGTTCCAAGGTTATAGTAGCTCCAACCTGGGAATGCCTGCAGCTGCCTGCAGCTGCCTGATGCGGGTCGTATAATTCGGCTTTTATATAAAAAAAGCCAAGATGCCAATCAATGCCGAGATTTACAAAGTGTAATTAGACGCTGGGCATCCAGTCACATTGGAAGCTCCTGCAGAAATAGGTACTAAAACACGTAATAGCTATTTTCACTTCATGGCTCCAGATGTCGGCCCCTTTCATACATGTCTAGATCAACTGCCAGTCCCTTTATATCTCACCGATGATCTGAACCATGTTCGAGGATTTGATACATTTTATAGCCGCGTTTGCACACATAAAATGTTTGAGTCAAACTAGTAGGTCTAGATTTATTATGAGATAGGTAAATATGAATGGAAAAAGGGTTTGTTTGTCAGTGGCCTTGTTCGTCAGGCCTTGTTTGCCAGTGACCTTGTTTGTCAGCGAATATCTGACTTCAATGTTTGCCCAAAATGAAGTAATAAGACATCAGATTGCTATCTCTCTGCGTTCTATATCCTATTCTTATGCGATCTATTCTTATGCGCTCTATACTATGCATTCTATCCCAATCTACCCCCTTCCGTTAAAAAAATCATACATCCACAGTCCTGACTATCCTTGATGTCTTCTTTACATCTACTCGATCGACTTTCAATTTATCAAAGAGTGCAGTCATATCTTTTCTAGCATTCACTCTACATCTATCAACGCTGTTGTCTCAAGCTGTTCATACATGAGACAGAATCTCCTGGAGGGACCATAATACCAAGACCAATTCACGCACAACTACACCCACTGAAGTCAAAATGCTCGTCCCCGATACAGGGGATCCAAGATCTCAATCTCAGGGCCACCCCGTTTACTACGGCCTGAGTCCAGTCGCTCCAGGTGCAGTTCCGGTTTCGGTCCCAGTTTCAGTTCCAGCTCAGTATGGTCCTGAGTACTTCGGTCCTCCGTCCATTCTTCCTAACCATGTTGCCTATGGTCCCTACGGACAGCCGCTAACTTACCCTGTCATGTTTGAGCCTGGTCCACCGGGACCTCATTCGTATGGCCCGCCGATCGTGACTCCTATGGTACCTGGCTCTCAATTCCCTGTCCCGCCTCCTTCGAACTTCGCTTACACCAATCCGAATCCCCCCATGGGACCCTCCTACCCTAGTGAGCCTAATGAAGATACCCGTAACTGGCTTGTTGCTCATCGCAAATTCATGACCTGGACTCACACGGTGTACTATTCGTCAAAGTCGCCTGAGGCATTTGTGAACGCCTGGAAACGAGCCCTGGCAGAGATGAAGGAGGCCTTTGGACCCCCAGCCCTTCCCACAATCTTCATGCTCAATCAATTCTTCGCTGCGGTCAGTGTGAACCCCAACACCATTACATGGGTTGAGTCGCTCCGGTTCAAGAAAGGTCATCTCCCAGAATCCATCCTAGACGAAGCTTACGCCGATTTCCTGGAGTTTGAGGCTGACCGACTATCAAACGAACTCTCAGTCTTGGGTGACCTGGATCATATCTCCGCTGGCATGGGTCGAATGGAAATTTCCACCAAAGAATACTGTCCCTACCACCGACGTCTTACGAAGCATCCGATTGACGAGTGCTTTCGAAACCCACAGAACACGAAGCGCAAGAGGAAGTGGAGACGAAAACAGGCGCTCATTGCAGCAGCTATGGAGGCCGAGAAGAAGAGGTTACTGTGATTCCCTTGTTCAGCTTATCCAAAGCGGTTGAGGGCGGGCTCTCAGATGGATTGTCTCACTGTCAGAGAGGTGACTGAGCTTTGAAGAATCAGGTGGAGGTTGATTTCCAGTGTTTTATTGTGAGGAGGATAAAGCCCTCTGTTACATTGAGTGGGCTTTACATTCTTCTTTTATCATGTCGTTATTCGCGTTTATTTTAACATTTTTTACACAATAAGTTCTTTTATAGCGTGACAAATAGTATTTTTAAAAAAGGACATCATCAATGGTTACCCCATGGATGTTTAATTGATCAGGCCAGGACTGGATACATACAGCCAGGTCAGTTTGCCTCCCCCCTCCCTCGCACATTTCGCGCTGTCTTTTCTGCCTCACTTCATTTCTGAGAGCAGCGTTGTCATTGCATCTTTGGCATAGTTTGGGTTGTCCCATTCAAGATGCATGTGAATGCCGATTTTTATCTACCTTGCTTTCGGCGTAGCGTAGGCATTACCAGTCAATGGTAATGACAGTCATTTGGGATTTTATCTTCTGTTGATTGCTTTCTACTGCGATCAAATTTATAATCTCAGATGATAAAATGATATAAAGATGCCACAGGCCCTCGAATAAAAACTGCAAAAGATAAGAGTAAGGAATCAGAGGGATGTAAGTTCTTACTTCACTATTTCTATTCTATCATTTATCCTTCACTTACTATTCCCTGTATCCTTTAGTGATGATCTATCTAACGTCTATTACTCTCTTTACTATATACATTCCATCGTCTCTCTCTCATCCCTCATTCACTCGTCTTCACTCGTTCTTTTATCTTCATTCGGTACTATTTTGGCTTTATTTATGCAATGCTGAAAGATGAAACCACTTATATATAAATAATTAATTTAACATATGTGCAATATAATTAACTTAAATCAAAACCCATCCTTCGGCGACACGGCTCTAGTTGGCATCCTTGCAAAGACTACAATAGTCAACCTTCACTGAGCAACCGTTGGACAGCTTAGCGGAACCACAAATCGAGATTCCGTTTCCTTTAGTATCGTAAAGGCTCGAAAAGCTAATAGGAAAAATCGTTAGTCAAAATCAATAAATCTGTGAGGTAGCACATGACTTACAGTTCCTTTAACTGCGCTCCATTCAGTCCAGGCGTGTAATAGTCGTCCTCGGAACACGCGTATTCAGCTGTACAGCCCATGCCGAGGGAGTTCGAATCATGTCTTTTTGTCTTCTCCGTGTAGACTGTATCATCGTCGTATTTCTCCCAGGCAGCCCTACAGGCAGAACTCAAGCCGTCGCCGATATGAGTGCCGCAAATGGAGGACCCCTTAGGGTTCCAGTCCGTCGCTTCGGGTGTATCGGCTGTCATTGTGCTGGTTGTGGGCTCACCAGCAGGATAAGTCTCTGTCAACTTGGTTCCTGGGACGTTGTAATATTTGATGGTTTGCGTGGGCCAGATGATCATTTCGTCATTTGTCGTCGTGGACGTGACGGGTCCAAGTGTTGGTGCAGGCTGCGCCTCTGTTGTAGGCGTCTCCGTCGGGGTGGGAGATGCAGGCAGTGTGGTGTAACCGCATCTGCCGTTGCTTTGGACTGGGAGCCAAATCTCAGAGGTTCCGGATGTGCAGATGCATGAGTTTGGACCGTGCGGATCTTGTCTATATGCTTTGTTAGATGGATCTTGACCTTATTCTTGACACCCTGGCTTATCTTACCTATCACGACAAAGAGGATCCTTGGTGCTTGTGGAGAATGTCCTGGGTGCGGAAGTGATGGTGTTTGACTTTCTGTCAGTGGTGCTGGCTGCCTCGCTGGTGGCGATTACCGAGCCAGATTCGGCAACTGACATGCAAAGTCGTATCTTAGAGGCACTGGTTGGAGTCGAAGTTGCGCTCGTAGTAGCCTTCGAACTAGAAGTTGGCCTCGTAGTAGCCTTCGAGCTAGAAGTCGGGGTCGAGGTAGACTCTACTGTACCCGATTCAGCAACGGTCATGCAAAGACGCAGCTTAGAGGGAGAGGGAGAGGAGGTCGATGAAGCGGTCGATGTGGTGGAAGAAGATGTTTTATCGGTTGCCGTTGTCGAAGTTGTACTCTTGTCATCTTCAGGATCATCATCTGGGCTTTCAGAGCCGGAACCCGAAGGGGTCTTGGGTGTTGAAGGAGGAGGGTTTGGACCGCCCGGCGAAGGGCTTCCAGATGGGGACCATCCACCTCCGAGACCCCAGTTATGGTCCGATGGACAAAGTAGGGGAACAACGCAGCCACTGCTTCCTCCTCCGGAGTCTGTTGTGCCAGAGCCACAAAGATCACTCGAAGCACAACCCCATGCAAACGTTGGCTCTGAACCATCTGAGGTAGTGACAGAGGTAGCGGTAAAAGTGATACTGCTGGTCTCCTGGCCCTTGGTAATCTCGACAGTCTGAGAAAGGGGGTTAGCTGCTTATCATGATAGATTATAGATGATCTTCTATGTAAGTACTCACTGTTACAGGGACGGGTATAGCTTCAGTTGTAGTATACCCACTAGTAGTGACGGCCATCATAGACGACTCAATTGTCGAATCAGGGTTGGAAGATGCAAAAGTTGGAGTAGCACTTGGAGAGCCTGTCTGCTGTGGGACCTTTGAAGGTGTAGCAGAGTCCGAACCAGCACCCTCCTGGGAGGACGTAGGAGGAGTGTTTGTCTTGGACGAGTCGCCAAGTCTTGAGGTAGGCGGCTCCGATGAGCGAGCGGTGGAAGCCTCAGAAGCATCCGGCTGGTTTGAATGGGGAGTCCCCGATGGGCTTGGGGTGTCTGACCGGCTGTTTGGAGTTACAGATGGCTGAGGTATGTTTGAAGGGTGCGATGGAGCCCCCGATTGGATTGGAGTGTCTGAACGGCTGCTTGGAAGTACAGATGGCTCAGGCACGTTTGAAGGGTGCGATGGAGCCCCCGATTGGATTGGAGTGTCTGAACGGCTGCTTGGAATTACAGATGGCTCAGGCACGTTTGAAGGGTGCGATGGAGTCCCCGGTGGGATTAGAGGGTCTGAACGGCTGCTAGGAATCACAGGTGGCTCAGGTGCGTTTGAAAAGTGTGATGGGATCTCGGATGGGTTCGACTGGGCCGAACTAGAATTTGGAGTCCCTATGGACTCCGTGCCTTGATCACCGTCCTTTGCAGTAGCTGAAGGCTGATTTGAGTTATTTCCCCCATTGGGTGCCACTGAGGGCAGCGGAAGTTGGGTGGAGGGCTTTGGATGTCTGTAGATCGGATTGAGATTGGCAGAAGACGTAGCAGTCATGGAAGCCTCGTCACGAATCCAAAGGTGCTTGGTAACCACCCCTTTATGAGGTGTGGCATTTTCCTTGAAGCTATCGGCTTCATTGACGGCGGGAACTGTGAATATATGTTACTATGTGTTCTGGAAGACCTGGTATGAAGAACTAACCTGGATCGCGGCCGTTCAATGGTGCATTCCTAGCCTGGACAGGATAAGTCAAGGCAAGCGTTGCCGCCAAGACGTTTCCAATTGTGACCTTCATGGTGTGAACCTTTGGACTGATGACTGGCTCTCGGAGGGGATTCTGACGAAGTTATATGCGACTACCCACAAACTGCTCGATCATATTACAAAGTACGTACAACACTCATACCGTCAAACCAAGGTTCCAATATCAAATTCCGAGTAACCCTTCAAGCCAATCAATTTCCACTATGAAGATGAAGTGGGTTTGGGGGCCAGGAACCGGCACAATTGTGGATGACACTAGGGCTTCCTTTGGCCCCCGACCCCGGGGGTGCGTAAACCCACAATATCCACAGGCCGATCCTAAAACACAGCAGGACTTCGGGATTTTGATTCTAAATTGGGGAATATTACTATAAATTTCAGCTCTCTTAATATGTAGTGCAATTCTTTAGGTTATTGGGTAAAAATCACAGGTAAATGGTCATTGTACGGAGTAGTTGTACGGATAGTGCTTGACCTAGTATAAAACAAAGAAAACCCATGTCTTTAGACTTGCCCGTTGAGTTGCCTATGCGATGAAATCAATGAAATCACCTGCCTTTTGAAGTAAAGACGCATTCTACCCATTCTGCCCCTGAATCTGTTCAATCCCGTTTGTGGACCAGTTCACGAGCATGTCTCTTGGGGCTAGCCCTTGGAAGTTATCCGTCAAGTGCAACTCGTAATTTCCGCACCCTCATGTATAGAGATAAGTGCATTATGTTGTACGTACACTTGGGGCCTTATTGTGACTCCACTACTTGGCCCCTACGAGCCCCCCTGACGATCTAGGAACACTCGACAGTCTAAGGATTGGGGGCTGAATGGTGGCATAGATTTCCGAATGTCCAACCGGCTTGCAAAGAACACTTGAAATAGCAACTCACCTGGAATATTTAATACGAGCGTCTGCCTCCCAATTCACCACAGAGTACTCAACAAACGCCATTCAAGACCTGGCGCTGTCTTCACTTTAGTACTTTTTTTGGGTTATCATCAGCCATCCCATCTACATCCTCACCTCTGCCTCAACTCCTGGTAGAGGCCCGCCACCATGTTCCCAAAAATCTTCTTATCGGTCATATTCCTCCTAGGGCTGTTAGGCAGTGTCCTGGCAGTAGGCGAGCTCAAAATCACGAAAGACACATCTCTCGGCAGTGACATGGAAGCCTACAACTCGAAGTGCACCTTTGAAACGCAACCGGACAGGGCGGACTTCCTGAAGATGATTGAAGCTGCCTTCAAGGAAATGCAAGATATTCCCGGCTCCAGGAAGGAAAAGCAGAAGCGCCCAAGCGCGATGATTGGGCTCTCTATCAACAACGAAGTCTACTTTGCTTCCTCCGTGAAGGGCAAGAGACAGTTTATCTATGAAGAGGTGTCTTGGAAGGGCGGCGACGGCACAATAAACCCCCCACTCCCAGACAATTTCAAGGAGGTCACCGACGCTTTAAAGAGTTGTGCCGACGATCACAAGGTCCGCAAGCAACACGGAAACCAGGCGTCCTGTGGCGAGATCATGTCCACACTTCTCTGGATGGTTGACAACAAGAATGAAAGCCCAAGAGATCACAGCCCCAGGATTGCTGCGTACAATGCAGGGGGCTACCTTCCCCCTTGTTCATCGGATCCGGAAGATGTGAAATGGGGATGCTACCAGTGGAACAAGAAAATGGATTTGGAAGTTGTGGAGAAGAGAGACGACCTTCCGGATGATTATACCAAGCCAAAGAAAACCGAAGCAGTCCAGCTAGCGAAATGCTTGGAGGTTGAAGTTGATGAGGACGAGACCACCCAAACCCAGAAATGAACATATCCCAGCGGGTGAATATGGACCGGAAATGTTTGGATGAGTGTCAATCTCTTTATCGCGTGACACTTGTATAGATTAATTTATTGGGAAGGAAGAATTGTATATAAATTGTTCGATATTAAAATCCATTTCCTAGAATGTCTCTGTGTCTTTTACTTCTGGAAAATGCGACATGTACGACGGTGTATAGCGCTCAATGCCGAATGCCTGAATTTGGCCTGACATATGCCTGATTTATGCCTTGTTTTAGACCGCTTTCAGGCCTCCGTGTACAGTGTACTGTAACCAACTCGGCAAGGAATAACTAGGCGCCGTTGACCCATAAAAATGAGGCTTTTCATCTCCATACAAATGGAGACATCTCCAACTTTCTAGACGATTTGCAAGTGTCAAAAAATGAAGCCTTTCATCCCCATACAAATGGCGCATCTCTAACTTTTTAGACGGTCTCCAAGTGTCAAGAATGAAGCTTTTCGTCCCCATACAAATGGAAACATCTCTATGTTTTTGGCGGTTTCCAGATGCGCCATTTGTATGGGGACGAAAAGCTTCATTTTCATTCCTACCTTGGGCAACCTTGGAAGTCCACCTGGGCAGTACATTGCTTATTAGGGAATCTGTAATGGTAATTCATGTATTTTTATTTTTCTGCTAGGCCAAAACAAGGCATTCAGGCAACAAATTCAGGCATTTGGCTTTGAGCGCTATACACCGTCGTAACATGTGCATGAAACCAGGTATTCTACTATCAAGTAGTCTCGCAAGGCGGCAATCTGATTGGCAAGAAGATATTAGAACAAAAACAACAATTCGATCCAATATTAGTTATCCATTATCATGGCAGGCTTGTCAAGAAGAGACGTCTACAAAAACATTGGGGTGCATGATGAATGTGAGTCTGATGGACTGAGTAGTTGAAGAATCTAAGCTCTAGACTAAGGATTTGATATTTCTCTCCAAGATCCTTCTTCAAGTCCCCTGTGCGTCGTCCAGAGTCCCGGTGAGAGATTATACTGGATCAACCTGATGTCTATATCCAGCCCAAGCTTCTCACACGATGATCTAGCCCCCATGGCATCGTCTGGGTCAGTATCACCCTCTTCTCCGACACCAAAGGCTCTAATTGTAATTGTGTTCAACATGGGAGTCACGGACTGCGCAAAGGGGATAAAGTTCTGAATTGCTTCTCCAACTTGACCCGTCTCCCACTCGAAGTCCTCCGTATGCCACAGGTTCTCCCGAATGGCGAGCTTCCGAAGTGTTGGCGGTAGAAGCTCAGACAAAGCTGGTGCATCGGCACAAGTCCATCCAAAAAGCATGACTGAAGGCAGCTCTGCGGTTCGAAGAAGCGGGAACCGCATCAAGATTCCTTTGAATGGTTTGAAGCTTTCTTGCGGGGTTCGATGGTTACGTACTCTTGCGCCCCAAGAGCCAGGCCACCAAAATGGACAAAGCTCCATGCTAATGGAAAGATTTTCAACTGTGTCCTTTACACTCATCAGACCTTCAAGAAGTACACCTTGCTTTTTGAGAGGAGGTTGAGGAGAGCAAACGTTATAATCGAGTTCCTTATCCTGTGATGGGTAGACAAGGCCCAGGTCAAGACTCTTCAGCGAAGAGAGGTGCGACAGTAGTTTTCTAACATCATCCTCGTCAACGGAAGATTCCGTCAATACGAGTCTTTCAAGCTGGGCCAGATGCGCCAGTTTGCTTGACTCAGCAGGCTTGGACAACTCGTTGGTGACACCCTCGAAACTTTGGATCCAGATTTCCAAGGATTTCAAAGAAGGCAGATAGAACCAGCCTGCAAATTGATCCGGGTCACAAACGGGGAATGCATCGATGAAATTCCATCTCGTTTCGTTAAACCTTCTAGAACGTGGAACATTCAGACCGTACTCGACAACGGAGAGTTGTGAAAATCGAGATAATGCATTCTCAGGCGCGGAGAGAAGAGCATGTCTCATCATCAATCCCGGAAACCCAGCTTTCCACACAAAAGTGTAATCGAGTTGCAGCGACCGTAGATTATGAAGTTGAGAAAGAAGCACAGCCACAAATGCGTATGGGTCACCGTTTTCCAGGGCATGAATCCACATTTCCGACGAGGGAAACTGTGCCTTGGTGATGATATCTTTCGCGGCGTTTACCTCACCCTGAAATAGAGATGAGAGCTGGTCCCAGTCGCCATCTATTTGAGGCAACTCCCACTCGGCTTCCTCGTGCGCTGCTGGATACACCAGTTTCGAGGTGATCATGCTCACATGGTGAATCTGTTCAGCCAGATCTGGACGTTCGTGAATGACACGGAATAGAGTCAGGACCCGCTTGAGGGGGGTCTGGTCCAGTCAATATCGACCTGGCGATATAGTGAGCTCTCCGAAGAGATTTGCAGACCTCGGGATGTGGCTACTACACATGCAGCGTCTGGGGGTGAAATTTCATCCAGAATCTGCACCCAACAATCTTGTGGGAGGGTTTCCAAGGCGCTGTGGTGGGTTAGCTTGAGCTGTTCTCTCGGTGTAGGGAAGGACTCACTTTGGTGTTGATGGCGCCCCGCTCATAGTGAATTTCCTGGTGAAAACGTGTTCGAGACGGAGATTTTCAGGGAAAATTGAAGAATTGACAGAAATTAGGAATTATATTGATAAAAGTACAATGACTATACCTAATAAAAGTAGGATTAATCAGGGATAAAAATGGTTTTCTGCAGGTGGAGTAGTTGGGGGCCGGGGGCCAAGACGTCACCCCCTGTCGATCTAAGGATAAAGGTTACCAGTTGATGAATGAAAAAAGACGATAATCAGGGAGATCGGAACAAGTCCATCAGTTAAGTTTATTGTTGAACCAAGCAATACGGTCGGGAGCACGTAACTGGAGGTGGTGGATAGAGTGGTGGATGGGAATAGATTCCCCTCGACGATGACTCTCTGCCTATAAGCGCGAAAAATATAGCCACTCTCTTCTAATGTTTGAATCGTTTCTCTTTAGCGATAAGATGCCTTTTCAAAGCGGCGAAATAAATATCAGAACACGATGACAGGCAAAAATATTAACAATCTGATGTTAAAACCCATCTCTATGATTTATTAGAATTGATTGGTTAGTGAGTAACAAGGTCATATCGCCCGACAATGGAAGAGTTACACCGCAGACTACCAACAGGAAACAAAACGCAAGGTGATTTTGTGCCTTAATGGCCCATACATAGATAGGTAGCCCTTAGGAACGAGGCAAGGGTTTGTTGACCCAACCACCCTGATGTCAGATGAACTTAATACCGCAATATGCACATGAGAAATAGGAAAAATGAGGGACACAGCAAGCTCAGAGAAAAGAGAGAGAGAGAGAGAGAGAGAGAGACCACACTTGGTTGAAAATCACGATAGTCAACTAATTACTACAGGCCCATTCAGTCCCGTGTGCAGGAACTATCATCTCATTTTGAATATTCTAATTCTGGCCCTAACGTTTGCCTATTCGGTGAGATGTTTATTCGGCTCATTTATCCGTTGGTGATCATTCTATTTCTGGGGGTTGTGGATAACTCTCAGCCAACCAATGCATTTTATGTAGCCCTATATTATAGACATAAATATTTATCTTCCTCAAATCACTGCTATAGCTCAACAAATATCATGGGCTTAGATCATATGTGAGACAGCCACTGTATGCACGCTCAACTCTTGAAACCTCACCAATAATATGAGGGGCAGATTTGAAATCAAGCCCGTTTTCGTTCCTGACTGTTGAAGGTGAGATCGCAGTCAGCTTTCTTAGTTCGGTATGCAAGGCGAATCTATAATGAAGGAGATTTTCCAATTTAGTTTCCCGATTGACCTTAGCGTCAGGCGGCTGTCCGTGGCTCCCTTGAACTATATCTGAAACTTACCGAGACTCGACCAATCATGGTCTTCGATACTTTTAGAATCCCAAGGGTCACTATTAGGGCGAACCCTTATATGAATACGCCATAATCGCCATCATTGCTATCTTATAACTCTACCACAGAATATCTTATACCATCTCATCGTCTTGGCAGCACATTTCCCACTCTACAACTCTCCTACCATCAATCAAAATGAAGTCCTTCTTCTCCATGTTTCTCTTCGTCACCGCTGCCATTGCCCAGAGAGCCACAATCGGTCTCCCCGCCGAGAACCAGAAAATCAATTCCGGCAAGGAAGTAATTATCCAAGTTCAGCGTCCTGTAAGTTCAAGAGTCCGGGATGCATAATTCTTCCAGCTTAGTCACCGCAATCCTTTGTACTAATCTATTATTCAGAACTCTCTGAGTTCATCCAAGGAGATGGGTGTAGCAATCGGACTCTCCTCATGTGAATCCTCACCCTGTAGAGACGCAGATGAAGTTCTTGGAACAATTCTATACAACGGGCCTTTCAACCCCGTGTACCATGAGTCCAACCTGCCCCCATATGAGAACCTCACGGTCACGGTGCCGGCCTCGGCTACCCTTGGCAAAAGCCAGATTAATATTGCTCATGCGGCTCTGATTGGTGTAAGTAAATCTCTTACGTCTATAGCATTCAAGTATACTAATTGTTGAATTACAGGCCGGTCCTTCCGCATTCTTGGAGTCTCTCAACCGGACTGTCTTCGTTGTCTAGATTTCTAGATTGCTGACAGGTCTAGAGCCTGAAGTCGGCTTTGCGCTAGCTTTGTTGTAAATTGCGGATCCTTTGTCGGGAGTTTTGTAAATATGGTTGGATATTTGAATATTGTGCTCGGTCTAGCAAATAATATATTTTGGTTATATAACTAGATACTTTCAAGAATACATTTACGTTAAAAATATGAGGTACTCTTCGAAGTGCATACGAACATAGGAGAGCAAGATGTCTTTGAAAACGGTGTTGCCAAGGAGTTTCTAGGGTTTCTGGGGTTTCTTTGTTTGGGGCCAACCCTTTTTTTTCGGTCTTTCTTATTGAAGTCTTCGCTTGGACATGATCTATGCAATAGTAAACCTGTGATTGGTTTATTTCTTCCCGACTCTTATTGACATCTCTATCGGGCCATCCATAGAACTCACCTGTTCATCTACTCTTTGTCCTGCATATAAGACCACAATCTCAGTAAGCATCATGTGCAACTACTGGCCATTTCTCTCTCAGAAAAGAGATCTTTCCCTTCTCTACAATTCCACAGAAAATTCCCACGTCATCGCACGTTAATCCTGTCATGATGGAGAAAGTCTTCTCTCGCTACGATCCCGTTCCCAAAGAAGATGGCGATGGCGACAGCGATGCCACCATCACAAACAGACCACCCCGTCGGGGCTTCCAGCAATTTCTGAAACGAAACCTCACTGCAATCACCATCACCGGCCTGCTCATGATCCTACTGCTCGTGGTCATTGCCGTAATCACAGCCATCACAGTGGAACCATTCCGCAAGGTTGTTGTCGTAAAAGGACCACCCTCTGACTCGCTTGCATACCCCGAATCAATCGAAGGCCAGCGCCAATGTCTACCACCAGCTCCACGAGTAAAATACTCGTGCGGCAACTCGACCACGGAGGCCGAAGCCCTCGGCTGCGCCTACGATCCTCTTGCTGGCTGCTGGCTGCACAAAGAATGTCCGCATGACTTTACGCACGAGTTCGCGCATTTCAACAATGGCAAGCCGTTTGTATATTTCTATGATGAAGCCGCCACCAAGCAGATGAAGGACTACACTGAACTCGGCAATAACCCGGACTTCTATTGGACTGCTGTCCGTGAGCACCTGGTTCATTGTCTGTATCTTCTTCGACGAGGCCATGATGTCCACATGCGTGGTGCTCGTCTAGATAATATGCTTGGGGACCTAGAGCATGTTGATCACTGTACCAACATGCTAGCTAATTGGCTGCGGAGACCGGATCCTGCGTTGGAAGAGATAGGCACTCAGGGACAGACTCATTGCTTTATGTCTTGTGCTTGATTCTTGGGTATATAGTCATCGTTCATGAAATTGAAGAGGGATATAGGAGCCGGCAACTCTGTACCTTTGACGGATTCTGTTCAATCTTCCTTGGGTTGTTTTATTCAAAGTCCAGAATGATAGTGGTTTTTCGGTGTTTCCTACTATTTTGGTATACTATCTTAATTTAACATGTACTGCCTAGGCTGTATCTTTTGTCAAAAATGGGAGTTTCCGAACTCCGACTTCCCGAGCTACTAGTATGTCCGCAACCCCGAAAACATAGGCTCCCACGAAACCTCTTAAAATTATAAAGAGATTCTCCAACTCATACACATCTCCCAGGAATCACTTAGAACATACTCAAAATGCCCCCGAAACGTGTTGCGATAGTCACCAGCAGCACGCGCAGCCCACGCCTCAACCCCACGATAACGGAGTACGTCTATGACGTCCTCACCTCCGACCCGACGATCCCAACAAACCACAATAGAACAACCGACACAGACCCGCGCCACATAACTTTCGAAATCCTCGATCTAGCAAGACAATCCCTACCCCTCTACGACGAATCCATCATCCCCGCCAGCCTACCAGCCGCAGACCCTACGCCGCACTACAGCAAAGCGCACACGCGGGCGTGGTCCGCCGTAGTGCGACAGTACGATGCGTTCATCTTCGTTACACCGCAGTATAACTGGAGTATCCCGGCGAGTCTGAAGAATGCGCTTGATTATCTCTACTTCGAGTGGAAGGGGAAGCCGGCGGGGATTGTTTCGTATGGTGGGCGGGGTGGTGGGAAAGCGGCGGATCATCTGCGTGGGATTTTGACGGGATTGCGTATGAGGGTTGTTGGAACTGCGCCTGGATTGCCGGTTAAGTTTACTGGGTTGCCTGTTGGGATGTTGTCGAAGGATGAGAAAGTGCGGTTGGATGAGAGGGATCTTGCTGGGTGGAGGGAGGCTGGGGTTGAAGGGATGATGCAGAATTTGGGAATGGAATTGGTATGTGAATTGGATAAGGAGTGATTAGTTCTTTATGTTCAAATGTTCAAATATTCAAATGTTCTATAGAGAATAATGCAAAGATGGAGAGTTGAAAGATGATATGTATGTGTTTTGTATTAATTAATAGTCACTTTTTATATGCATGATTCGTGAAGATTATGTACTGATGTCCAAAACATCAATCATCTCAGTCAGTGCTGAGAATGTCCTCGCGTGTGATCCCACTACGCTCACACATGGCACGGAAAATGCCATCTGTCTTATCCCACAGCACAGCTGGTGCATCCATCTCAGCAATCCGACCCTTATCCATAACACAGATGCGATCGTAGTGGATGATAGTGCGCAAGCGATGCGCAATACACAGCAAAGTCTTTCCATCAAAGCCCTGGGCCATGGTGTGCTGGATCTTTTGATCGGTCTCGAAATCAACGGAAGAGGTAGCTTCGTCGCAAACGATAATACGTGCGTCGCGGACCAGCGCCCGGGCGAGGGCCATCAGTTGCCGCTGGCCTAGAGAAAAGTTCAGACCTTCGTCGTCGACAGGCGATTCGAGGGTAAGTGTTTTTGTCGGGCGCGCTTTCATGTCACTGCCTGTGACTGGGGTTGTGGCTCCGCTGGCTGGCTTGCTTGGCAGTTCCTCACCTTCGAGTGCTTGCTCTTGGTCGATGAGGTACGCCTTGCGCAAGGCAGACCATAGTTCGAGGTCATTGTGCTCATTGAATGGATCAAGATTCGAGCGGATCGTGCCCTTGAATAAAGCGGGATCTTGGGGGATGATGGCAAGGCGGGATCGAAGGTCGTGGAGGCCGACAGTGGAAATATCGAGGTCATCAATTTTGATGCTACCCCCTGATAGTTCAGTTAAACGGAAGAGTGCCGACATGATACTCGATTTTCCGGCACCAGTGCGACCGACAATACCAATGCGCTCGCCTCCTCGCACGTCCATGGTGAGGCCCTGTAAGACGAGTGGAAGGCCAGCCCGGTAGCGCATCTCCACGTTGCTGAACTCAATGTGGCCCTTCTCGGGCCAACTAGCTGGCACCTCGACCTGGTGCAAAGGCGCCTCCTCTTCCAACTCAGTACCATAGTGGTGAACACGTTCTGTCGCGTTCATGTTGTTCTCAACCTCGGCCAGCTGACGAACCGTGAACTGGAGCATCTGTGCGATAGCCAAGATGTAAGACAGCACTAACCCAGAAATACTGGGCGAGACATTGAACCGAGAAGTGACGACCAGAACACCGACCACGAAGACTAATAAGGTCGCCACGGCATCGAGTCGGACACTAAGCCAACGTTGATTGGAGAAAGTGAGGAAGTAAGCCCCGTTCATCACATCGATCGAGTCTCGAATGGTGCGGCGGAATTGGTTCTCTACGCCATATGCGCGAATGCACGCGATTCCCGTGATAGCCTCGCCGAATCTGGCATAGACCATTGAGCGCAAGATGCTCTCGTGGCGCTTCATCTCACGGGCGGATGCTCTGTAATAGTTCGAAGCTACAAGGAACAGTATAATCATAGGAACCAGTGCGATGACGAACTAAATGGAATTAGCAAATCTTGCATCACAAATACCCCCAAGACATTTCAAGGGAAAGAGTACTCACATAGTAGAAGAACACGATGACTAAGACCATTATAGAGATAATCATAGTCATCGTCAAGGCATAGATACGCATCGCGTCGGAAAGTTCATTGTCCATCACCTGGATATCCCTTGAAAAGCGGTTGGTGATTCGTCCAAGCGGCGTGGTATCGAAGAAACTCATAGGCGCGCGGAGCACACGAGACATCGCACGCTGAAGCATAGTCTTGCTAGCATTCGTACCGCACGTAGTCATGTAAGTCGAGAAAGAGAACATCAAGAGAACAACACTGACACCCAGTCCAGCGTAAATTCCAATATACTGGCCGGTCGACAGCCCCGGGTACTTGTCAGAAGTCCAGTAGGACAACCACAGACTAGTCCAGACGTTGGCAACATTCGTAAGGCCGAGCAAGATGAATACCATGACAGCATTGAAATAACTTCCAGAGGCTCGGATATACGCCTTCCAGACACTCCAGCCAACGGATTCGGTGGCCTTTTCTTCTTGCTGCATCAGGCCTGCGGCGGGTTTTGCTGGGACGGCCTTCTTGGGGCTTGGCTCATTTTCGTTTATTTCATCCACGACTTCGTCGACCACTTCTTCCTCTTCCTCTTCCTCTTGCATATCCTCCTGTCGCGAACTAGACATCAACCGCTTAAAGACCTCGTTGTCGCGCATCAGATTGTCGAATGTATCAACCGCATTGATCTGACCCGCGTCCATAACAATAATTCGATCACATCGGCTGAGCACATGGAGTTGATGCGTCGCCAGGATTCGGCAGCGATCTTTGAGCAAACCACAGATGGCCTTGTCCATGATATGACGACCAACATGTGCATCGACAGCTGACAAAGGATCATCCATGAGCACCATTTCCGCATTGAAATATATGGCTCGGGCGATGTTCAAACGCTGTTTCTGTCCGCCAGAGACAGTGATACCTCGTTCTCCAATTTCGGTCTGGTCTCCATTCGGTAGGATCTCGAGATCTGGGGTCAGAGCGCATGCATCGATAACTTGCTCATACCAAGCCTCATCATATTCCTTCCCAAATAGAATGTTGTTGCGCACGGTGGTGTTTTGGATCCAGGCGTACTGGGGACAGAATGCACGTGTGGTGCTCAGACGTATAGTACCATCGGTCAAACGCATATCGCCTGCCAGAGCCGAGAGCAAGGAACTCTTGCCACAGCCGACTGTTCCAATTACGGCCAACAGTTCATTTCGGCCAACTTCAAAGGTCATATCGTTGAGTTTGAACGGCTCTATAGGGGTTTCATCCGCGTTATCCTGTTTTTGTGTTGCCTTTTCTGTTCGTTCGGGGGTGCAGCTGCCTTCTTCTCGGCTTTGTCTGCATCCTTTTCATCTGTCGGAAGGCGCTCCCAGGTAAATGAAGCATGTTCCATCTCGATTGCATTCTCCATGTTCTGATCCCGCTCGATATCTTCTGTTTGTTCTTCGGCAAGCAAGAACTCCTGGATTCTATTAAAAGCAGTCGAAGCATCGGTCACCTGACCGATAACCATTGGCAGCATGTTCAACGGCATCCGCAGTGAATTGAATAGCGCCAACGAAGAGAAAATCGGTGCAGGGTCCAAGTCATGATTTGAAAGCGCATAGGTAACGAAAGCCAACATCGAGGCGAAAACAGGAATAGACATCGCCACACAAAGAATGGCATTTCGGATTGCAAGCAGTGTCTGGATGGATCGGATTTCTCGTCCACGGATCTCTTTCAGACGGCCGAGGAAACTGCTTTCCCAACCGAAGTATTTCACGAAGCGCACAGCTTGTAGGATTTCCTGCGTGAGAGACACACGTTGGTCTGTAATCTTGTTGATACTCCGTCGTCGAGTGATCAAAGATCGCACAGCGAAAGTCAAAAATGGCATTCCGATTATGAGCAGTGCGTACCCGGACAAACAACTGTAGCCAATGTTGACCAATAGAAGAACGAGTGTCACTATAATGGAGATGGGTGCTGTCCAGATCATATGGAACATGCCACAAGCCAGGTTAATTCGGTCCACATCAATACTCATGAGAGCCGTGATACGACCATTGTTCCATCCGCGGCCATCACCTGCAACGCCACCGGGTGCAGGCAGTGCAATATCAGGCTTCTGTTTCTTCCCTTTTTCTTCGGGCTTTAAGAGAGCATCCTTGGTTGTCTCCAAGGCTTTGACTTCTTCTGGGGTAGCTTGTCCTCCTGCCTTGGCCCGACCAGATAATTTCATAGCCTTGTTGAAGATGTGAGAAATAAGCACCGCGCGAATCTGCCCACCAACGACTTGACCCCGATACAGGAACTGATTTGTGCATAAGCTCTGCAGTGCCTGCATACAGGTGATACCAACGACGAACCCCATACCCTTGCCAATGTGAGGCGCCGGCTGACCGGTCTTTTCTGCGACATAAGCCTCCGTCGCAAAAGCAATCAGGTACCGCGTCAAATATGGCGCAAAGACCAGCAACAGCGAACTGAAAAACTGACAGATACCGCCGAGCAGAAATTCAAACCTGAACGTGTCATACAACGCCCAGAGAAGCGGGCGGTTAATACCACTCTCCATGCGCTTTTCCAATGCAGCGTCTAATCGGCCGGACAATACATCAACGGCCCGATCGGGATTGACAGTCCAGATATCCTGCAATTCGAGTGGACGTAGATAACCCACTTTCATCAACGGGGACATCCATTGAAAGGAAAGAACACTAAAAAAAGAAGCGCCATGTTCATGCGATACAGATCGCTCCGTTGGGACGGAGGGGATCTTTTGCATTCGCAGCGGATTCAGTCTGCGATACCAATTTTTCTTTTGTGCAGGCTGCACATCCAGATCGGAGGCCTTGGCTTCCTCAGATGCCGATCTCGAGGTATTGGCCCGGAGCTTGTCATCCGCCACCACTACTTCACGTAGCGGTTCAGGCGCAGACATGCTGGACTGTAATCTGCTATCGAATCCAAATCACCTGGGCAGTTTTCTAGAAATTCAAAATCGAATTGCAATGGGAAAAAGTGGAATAATAGCAGATGTGGGGACAGCCACGAGATGCTGAATGCGGAAGGCGGAGATAATGTCGGGGATTAGGAATTAAAGGAAATAAGGAAATAAGGAATCAGGGAATTAGGGAATTAGGAAATTAGGAAATTAGGAAATTAGGAAATTAGGAAATTAGGAAGAATCGAGGGGATAGATATTTGAATATTGGAGGGGGATTTAAATGGCTATAGATACGACTACGAGAACGGGGTATTATGAAAAGTCAGACGGAAGTCCGATCCTATATATAATAGTCCACCTGATAGGGCTAAGCTTCCCAATATCGGGCTTGTTGGGCCTGTCATGATAAAGGTATTCGCTTAGAACTTCACTATCAACCATGGACTGGTGGACTAATGGACTGGACTAATGGACGGTGTCTTGTTAGTGTGTAGTCTCTCGGCAGTCGGGATCGGGGACTTTATCATTCCGTTTGCCGATATTTGGATTACTAATGTATGGCCCCTCAGTGGACCTCGGGTGAGCCCGTGAGGGTTGATTTATCATTATATTGTATTGATTCTACTTCACTAGCAGACTGTGTTCGAAATCCGAATTGATATGAGCTATTCTTTGCTATGACATACAAGTTTGGACCCCGAAAGAAAAAGAAGAAAAAAAAAAAGAAAAGGAAAAGGAAAAGGAAAAGGAAATCCATTCCATCATCATCACGTCGTGGGATAACAAGCAGATCCAAGACAGTAAATGTGCAGGGACATTTCCGTCATCTCAAGCTTGTGTCCAATGGGAATCTCAAGTAGCCAGCCCTAGTCTAGAGAATATGATATGCATGGCTTACAGGGTTGCGGCTGTGATATGTGGTACCTGCAGGGGTCCCGTTCTTTATAGCTGCATCTAGTTTTCAAGGTCAATCTTGACCTTCTTCTCCGCGGGAGGGATAATCTGGTCCTCAGATGCGCCCTTGAGGTTGGGGAGGTCTGTCACGGCCTCCTTGATGATGTCGAGGGCCTTTTGGATCTCCTCCTCCGTGATGACCAGTGGAGGTGCAAGCCGAATGATGTTCTGGTGGGTAGGTTTGGCCTGGAGAATATAAGAGTCAGCGATCCCCGGATCAAACTTAATGAATAGGGACTCGGATACATACCAACAAACCTTTCTCCTTCATCAACATGCACAGATCCCAAGCGGTATGTCCATTCGTCTTCGACTCGTCAATGACGATGGCATTGAGCAGGCCCTTTCCACGCACTGTCTCGATGATCGGGCTCTTGATAGCCACCAGCCCATCCCGGAACAAGTGGCCGAGCTGCTCCGCACGCTCCACCATGTTCTCCTCGCGCACGACTTCAAGCGCGCGAATAGCAACGGCACAGCCCAGTGGGTTTCCACCGTAGGTTGAACCATGGGTACCGGCCTCGATTGTAAGCATGACGTCCTTGCTACCCAGCACGCAAGAAACCGGGTACATACCACCCGAGATGGCCTTGCCGAGCAAGACCAGGTCGGGCTTGATTCCGCTCCACTCGTGGCACAGCAGCTTACCCGTGCGCGCGATACCAGTTTGGATCTCGTCACAGATCAGCAGCACATTGTGCTTGTCGCAGAGTGCGCGGGCCTCCTGCAGGTAGTCTGGGTCGGGGACAACGATGCCTGCCTCACCCTGGATTGGCTCGACGAGGAAAGCAGCGAGATTGGGGCCAGCCGCCTCGAAGGCCTCACGTAGAGCTGCCTTGTCATTGTAGGCGATGGGCTTCTCAGTTCCTGGGACCGTGCATCCGATACCGGGAAGATAAGGACCGTAGTTCTCACGAGACTCGGGGTCGGAGGATAGGGAAATGGCGGCGAACTAATGCAAGGGGTCAGCATACTTTCACGGGTGTAACAGGGAGGGGGTCACAATTCACTTACTGTACGCCCATGGAAGTTATTCTCAGCACTCAAGATGACGGCTTTATTTTCCGGAATGCCCTTGACCTTGTATCCCCACTTGCGGGCAATTTTGATACCTGTCTCGACAGCCTCGGCGCCAGTGTTCATAGGCATAACCATGTCAAAGCCAAAGTAGCCAGTAACAAACTTGGCAAAGCGGGGGAAGACGTCATTGTAGAAAGCACGGGAGCTCAGGGTTACTCGCGAAGCTTGATCTACCAGTGCAGCAATCAATTTGGGGTGGCAGTGACCTTGGTTCACAGCAGAGTATGCGGAGAGGAAGTCAAGGTAGTGACGACCTTCAGGGTCCCAGACCGAAGTACCCTGAGCCCGGGCAAAGACAATGGGAAGAGGGTGGTAGTTGTGAGCAGCATATACTTTCTCAGACTCAATGGCCTCAGCAGAAGAGGCAGCATGATAGTGGGAGAAAGGCCCATTGGTAGTAGTAGTAGTAGTCATGGTGGATTTGCGGGGAGAGAGCTAAGAAGTTGGGGGAAAGTTGGAGGTGAGGAGGGATCGACAATGGGGTTAAAGAAGGAAGAGAAGAAAGAAGATGAGAAAGAAATTGAAGAAATTCCCAGAAATAATATGGAAGACAAGAGAAGTTATATATAAGGGGAATTTTTCCCTTTTACAGCCGCTATGCCGTTAAGTGTTAGACTTGTTAGCACCCATGTCCGCTAAGTACAGGTCGTGCCGATGCTGTTCCCTATGTGCAGGATTACCCTACACGGGCTCCATTAGCTTTAATAACCACCATTTCTGATTCGTTCATTGGTTATATATCTATTCTACCTAAGTAACTATTGGTCTAATTTAATTCAGAAGGGAGAGAAGCTGAGTGTTGTATATGTTAGATGGTCGAACTACACGTCATACTTCGGTTATTGAAGGAAAAAATAACAATACTATATAGAAATATAGAGAAATAAAGGATTAATATAACTTCAAATAAAGATTCAATTAGTTATCATTAATTATGAAAGAAAAGACAAAGATGAAAGATGAAATGTCTAGGAGCCAATGAATAGTTCAAGTTTCGGAGTGAGACCCTCTTCCGCCCTCCTTTGTTGTCCAAGTTCATTCATGCACTTCAGGTCAGATATCTTGAAACCTCTTGAAACCTCCGCAATGTACGAGGGGACGAGTACTTCCAAATATTCTTACCCTTGATCATGCCTACACCAAAATTTCCACGCGTGTCTCGAACTTCACCGGCGCCTCGAACTTCACCCGCACCCACTCAAAACATACTCCTCTTCCTCATCGCCTTCCGTCTCATCAATGCGTTCGCAGTTCGGACCTTTTTTCAACCAGATGAATACTTTCAGTCACTCGAACCAGCCTGGCAGATCGTCTTCGGTCAAGGCCAAGGGGCCTGGATAACATGGGTGAGTGAATGCGATCGCGTGAGCACCTGAGTACCTGACTTTGGCTAACCTCAATATCGCTCCTAGGAATGGCGACACCAACTCCGATCCTCACTACATCCTTTCTTCTTCGCCGCTCTTTATAAAACCGCTGATTTCCTCGCCTCTACCCTCAGCTTCTCTCCCGCCACGCGCGCAGAGCTCCTGGTTGCCGCTCCGAAGACAGCGCAGGCCGTTGTGGCGGCAATTGGTGATTTCTACACGTGGAAGCTTGCGGTTCGCGTCTACGGAAATGATTCCCCTGGATCCTGGACAACGGTATGTGATTATGTGTCGCGTTCTTCGGAATTTCTCTACGCAGGAAAAAGCGCATGCTAATTGTTCAACAGCTGGTCGCAACGGTCCTAAATCCCTGGCAATGGTTCTGCTCAACTAGGACCCTGTCGAACTGTTTTGAAACCACAATCACCATTGTCGCGTTGGAACTATGGCCATGGCAATGGTCGGTAGGCTCGACAGCCGGCGATGGCCGCGGCAAAAAGACTGGCAATCAAATGAGGGGGGTACGGACCGGAATCGAAGTGTGATTATTGGGTATGACTAGACCTCCGAGTTTATAACAACATCCACTGACGCTGCTTGCAGCTTCCTCAAATGCCTGCCTCTGGCGGCGCTCGCATGTATACTGCGGCCGACCAACCTTCTCGTTTGGGCAACCCTAGCCGGCCTCGCTTGGCTTCGGACGTCTTGGGCCCAGCAAAAAATCCTCATTTTTGAAGTTATACTTTGCGGGTAAGTAGTCTGACCTCCTGGTAAGGAACCAGCTGACCTTTTGATCTGACAGATCGGCAATTCTCGCGGTGTCTACGGTTGCAGACCATCACTTCTATGGAATTTGGACCTTCCCACCGCTCAGATTCCTATACTTCAACATCGCGCAGTCACTGGCTGTCTTCTACGGCAGTAATGACTGGCATTACTATATCTCACAGGGTTATCCCCTTCTACTCACCACTCTGTTGCCTGCTGCGCTTATTGGTTTATACACAACCTTGACGGCTCGGAAATCTACACTGGGAGACAGTTTACAGACAACGATCCGAGTACAATTGGCGACAGTCTGCATTGTGATGCCATTTGCCCTCTCTTTGATTTCTCATAAGGAAGTGCGCTTCATCTACCCATTGCTACCATGCCTGCACATCTTAGCCGCGCCACCTTTGGTGCAGTTCTTTTACCCAGCCGTCCACTCGCCGGCATACGCGCGTTATTCTCCCCGCATGTTGATTCTCATTTTTCTTGTGCTTGTCAACGTGGTCATTGCGATGTACACAACTCTCTATCACGCATCGGGAGCAATTAATGTTCTCTCCTATCTCCGTCAGCAGCACCAAGCACACTCAGCATCAATAACAAAAAGAGGAACAAACTCCACCTCTGAAACAGGAATTTCTGTTGGCTTTTTAATGCCCTGCCACAGCACACCCTGGCGCTCTCATCTAGTCTACCCGACAATTAACGCCTGGGCCCTTTCCTGCGAGCCACCGATCGATCTCAATGCAACCCAGAAAGCCGTTTACCGAGACGAAGCAGACCAATTCTACGACGACCCTGGTCAATTCCTACACCATAACATGGCTGGTGGTCTCCGCCACTTCCCTCGACGACCCAGCTACATCTCTCCCGCACACCATTCTGTATCAGGAAATGCCCCCGATGAGGCCCCACACCATGATTGGCCCGACTACCTCATCTTCTTCGCCCAGCTCGAGCCAACCCTCCACCCCCTGCTACGCAGCTCCCATTATGACGAGTGCTGGCGCACCTTCAACTCCCACTGGCACGACGACCGACGTCGTCGCGGCGACATCGTAGTCTGGTGCCTGGACACGGTAGAGCAGGGCGCCTGGCGCTCCAGTGCCCAACACCAAGTGCAGCAAAGCCGAGATGAGCAATTCGATCGTATCGTAGAATCCTTCAAGCAAGAGGGACGCAAGCAGAAACAGCAGTCATGGATGGGCTTCCACGCGTCTTCGACGCCTTGGTCCGTATCGCCTCCTTCATTGTTTGCATCATGGCGACGTGCAGCAGGGTCTCTTTTCTCGTTATCTCCAAAGGTACCGCTTTCTTGGCCTTGGCAACGTTCAGCGGCGTCTCTCTTCTCGTCACCTGCAAAGGAATCGATATATTGGCCTTGGCGTCCCCCCACTCGATGGGAGAGCTTTGTAGCGAGGTTCTCATTCTCGAAGCAGAAGCCAGATTGGCTTCCTTCTTGGGCGTCAGGTCTTCCTCCTTGGGTGTCAGATCGGCTTCCTTCTTGGGTGTCAGATCGGCTTCCTTCTTGGGCGTCAGGTCGGCTTCCTTCTTGGGTGTCAGGTCGGCTTCCTTCTTGGGTGTCAGATCGGCTTCCTTCTTGGGCGTCAGATCGACTTCCTAAGTTGCCGTCTTGGTTGGGCGGAGCTAAAGAGAAACCTACGGAAGCAGAGTTGTGGTCTTGAGAATCACCGATTCCTGGCTATGTATTTGTCTGGCTTTTTTGGCCTCCAGCTATTGTATATGTGCTGCTGCAAGGATTCTTCTTCTTCCCTTCAGCTTCTGCCTTCCATCTTCCCTTACTATTTCCTTCTTGTGTCTTCACTTCTCTTTGAACATATAGCCCTAGACCTATAGTACAATAATCTATCTTGATTCTGTAATATATTAGTTCAAAACTCATATGTAACAAGAAACAACATTTATGTACTATTTTGACTCGCTAACCGGAAATCAAAGGACTGTTTTAATGAACAAAAAAGAAACATCGACAGCAGGGAATGAGATGTAAAGAAAAGAATGAAAAGAATGAAAAATCTAATGGGTGGTAAAAAGATAATGAAAATGCGCCAGACATGCACAACCATAACACGTCTCGTCAATCTTCTGCATCCATTTTGGAAATGAGAAGGAAAATCAATGCCCAAGTCAATATCCATATTCACATTGCGCGGCCATCTATCTATGTACGATCCAAAGCCGAAGTTATCTAAAACTCAGCCATAGCGAGCACTCAAACTAGCAAAGGCATCAGGGCTATGGCGACCATTCTGCAGGCCGCTGACATCAACGCTCGGCTGGCTCATGTGTGTCCGTGGGAACGCCGAGTTAGTGGTGGGTGGCGGGCCTGAAAAGGGGGACTGGCCTCCAGCAAATGGAGAACTGTTCGCTCCTGCAAAGGGGGGACTGCTCATTCCCGAAAATGGGGAGTTGTTCGTTCCCATGGCCGGAGTAGTGGCGGGGGCAGTTCCGGTCCCGGGCTGGCTGTTCATGCCGCCAATTCCTAGCCCTGAGGATTGCTGCTGGTATGGGTTGATGCCTGCTTGTGCGGCAAGGCCGGATCCGCTGCCCGTGGGCGCGGTGCTGAAGAATGGGTTGTTGGATGTGGCGGGCTGGGTGTTGGCGGTAGGTTGCTGGGGCTGGAAGTTTTGCTGGGGTTGGGGTTGGCTCTGGGGTTGGCTCTGGGGCTGATGCTGGAAGTTTGTGGCTTGCTGGGCCTGAGGAATGGAGGTGTATGGGTTTGATGGTTGAGAGTAGGGGTTCATGGTGGGGGGTTGACCCTGGAACTGCTGAGGCTGCTGGGGCTGCTGGGGTTGCTGGGGTTGCTCGGAGATAGGTGTCATAGTAGACTGCGCAGGACCCATATTATACAATGAAAGAATGCTGTTTTTGTCCATTCCAGTGGGTTGAGGCATGAGTTGCTGCGGCTGCTGGGGCTGCAGGTGGGTCTGGACTTGGCTGGGATAACCGCCTGCGCTCTGTGCTGTGTTAGGCGCCGACCCTTGCTGGAACGGATTGTAAGCTCCCAGTCCATTTGATGGCTGTTGCTGTTGCTGTTGCTGTTGCTGTTGTCCTTGGAAAGGAGCATTTAGTCCAAATGGCGAGGCGGAAGACATAACTGGCATGGTATTTGCATGGCGAGGGGGTTCAAAGCCCCCTGATTGGGTTGCGAGCGGCGTCATTTGCTGCTGTTGTGGCTGCATGGGTTGATTTTGCGGCGCATTGTTGAAGAAAGGGTTCGTTTGCGGCGCATTGGGGTTGGGATATGTTTGGCTGCCCAAGCCACCCTGCGGCTGCGGCTGCGGCGGTGGCTGGTCGAATGGATTGTAGCTGTTGTTCATTGGCTGAGGCGATGTAACATAGGGAGATTGCGAGAATGTCGATGTGGCCGGAGGCGTATATGGCTGTTGATATACAGATTGCTGCATGGAACTTGTCTGGTTCGGGTATCCACCGGTAGAGTGGGGGAACAGGGGCTGAGAAACCTGAAGGCCCTGGAAAGATGATTCTAAAGGTTGTGTAGGTGCCGGCTTCGAGTTTAGCTGATCGAATGGGTTGTATGGAGCGGTCTGTGGTTGCTGTGTTTGCGACTGGGTCACGGGATTTGAGACTGCCCGGTCAAATGGGTTGTTGGAAACCTCGGGAAATGTGTTGTCGGTTTTGACGGGGAATGGGTTTTTGGACGTCTCAGGCTTCGAGATTACTATACGTGCAGATGCACCAGTGCTTGTCCCGGCCGGGGTTCTGGATCTTGATGCGGGGTTGCCCCCCTCACCCAACCTGACCAGTGTTTCGACTGCTCGATCCAGATCCTCGTGGAGTCCCTTGAGAACCATCTCGTTTCGTCGGTCATCGGTGAATCCCATCTGCCGCAATGCCGCCATTTTGGCCTCGAAAGATGCGGTTGTCACATCGGCGACAGGCGCACCAAGCCCGGTCGTCCTCCTGGATTGCAATGGTGGTGGTGACCAGGCTCCATTATCCGAGGTTGGCGAGGACACCTTGGGCTTGCCACCAAATCGGCGGAGGTTCGATGTAGAGGACGACGAACGTAGACCAAACTTGAAAAACCTCCCAGACTTTGGAGGAAGCGGCGGGGGAGAACCCTCGGGGGATATGTCGTAGTTATTCTTCCTTGATTCCACGGGGGACATAGCCCTAGGGTTGGAGTAACTCGAATCCTCCCTACTCGGGGGCTTTGGCTTCCCGTTTTCCAATGAGCGGTGTTGATATTTCTGCCGAATAAACCGTTCCATGCATGCATCAGCCTCGTCAATATCGGTGGGAATTGGCGGTTTGATACCCCGCGGGTTGTTCATCTTGTTCATAAGGATGTTGCCGTGCGATTTCATGTTCTGGTGAAGTCCACTTTGTCAGCTCCTGCCCTTTGCTATTGCAAGGTGCCTGATTGCGCTCACATCAACTTGCTCTGCTGTCCATGTGTCCATGCTTAAAGATTTGATCTTGGAAATATGTGTGCCCAGCTTTCGGTGCAATGCGGCGCAACGCATGCAAAGGAAGATGCCCATCTGTCGGAGATGAACAGTCAGTTTGTGGATTCGCAGGGAGGTTAAAGAAGCGGCGACATACATTCCAGCTTGCCCATCCTATTCAAATAAGAATTAGTCAGACCAACAAACAATAAGGGTCTCTAGGGACGAACCTGGGGTTAAGGCATCGCAATCGGCACATCGGTCATTGCCAGGAACGGTCCGGATCAGCTCCGTCAAGGTCTTTTCATTCCGCGCCTGCTCGCGCTTGCTGGGGCCGGGAGCCATGATGCAAAAAAAAAAAAAAAAATTACAAGAATAAAATAAACAAATAGAAGAAGTGGCAGTTATACAAAGTGGAATAGGGGAAGAATTCTGGTTCCCAGGGCGGAGAAGGGTTCAATTGACGTCCGAGGGGCAGATCATTCCAAATGAGACAGACATGTACTCCGTACACCAAGTAGTTATAACTATGGAGTACAGATAAAAGAAGAATCGAGTCAAGGAGAGTCAGGATTTAAAGATTTTAGCTTAATTGTTCCAAGGTTGAGTTGGTCTAAGTTAAATTCAGTTGGCAATATAATTCTGCTATATCCTTATTTTATTTTTTTCTCGGCATAGCTTTCTCTATAAGCATCTTCTAGAACAAGTTAAGAAGTCTTAGATATTTATAGACTGGAGTCTAGGCTCGTACGGTTTTAGATGGACAGACACAGATTATCTATGTATATTAATATGTTGTACTAGAAATATATATATATATATAATTGGCATGTCCGGACAGCAATGACTCGCATCTACCAATGCGCCTAAAGGCCGAAGCCTTTTCGGAGCCGTCGAGAAGTCGTAATGTTACCCAGGAATATCTTCTAGTACGCCAATATGACCAACCATCCTATGATAGAGGAATTGGCGGTTGATTATGCGTTCGGAAAAGTGTAAAGAAGAAAAAGTTTCAATTTGCGCGGAAATTTTCGATACAAAAGGGAGTGGTCATGTGACTGCACTAGTTCAATCACGTGTCACAAAGATTAAGATAAAAACTTTTCACTTCACACTTTATCTTCTTCTTCAACCATCATTCGTGTGTTGGAGACTTGAGAATCCAATCCTTTAATGTCGGGGATTGTTGAGGACTTGGCTCCAACATTTAGATATATATAAACTTCAAACCACATAACCCGCGTGGTGCCTACCTGTGGCACTGCCGTCTCTTGGGTGATTTTTTAATCGTTCGTGGAATATCAAAACCAAACAGTTTTTAGCAGAGCTGCGTCTACTCCACCCTGGTGTTCATATCTATTGAACAGCAGGACTTTTTACGACGGACATCCCCAACCAATAATCAAAATCTATCTTCAACTTTACTATATTCCTAAATCAATAATCATCGTACTTATTTCCACAATTATGGACCTCAGCACCGTACCATTTTACAAGATCTTCTGCTTAGGTGTCACATGACCATCCGGTTCAAATGAGCTCTTTCCAAAGCTAAGCACTTACTCTCCCTGTAACTCTTGTTTTCGTACATGCTTCTCTAAGCACATGCAAAATCCATGGATGAATTTGGACAACCTTGCGATACAGCAGTCAGATCGACTCTGGTCTGCTCGGTACAGAAGAGCGGAAATTAACGTCATGGTTGAGACTAAAATGCAAGATGCAAACGAGGGCAATATTCTCATTACCGCATTGACGAACTACCTAGGTAGTTAGTTGCTATAAACATATGATTATGTGATACGCTTGCAAAAGAGGGAAGATGCGGAATAGAATTAAAATGGAAGCTAAAGCCCTAGAAGTTCCAGAAAGAAATGGTACAAGCTTTTAGATAGTTCATTGCAGGATTAGAGAAGAGAATAAGGCCTATTTAGTCGCACATATAACAATACATATGTATGTATGCTTCTTTCCTCCGCAATGCTATCAGTCATTGATATAGGTATTTCTTGACAGCAGAAACACTGTCATAGCGACGTACTCATCCATGAACATAGTCAGTAATCAGATGGCTAGAACCATGGGTAATAAGATCGAGACCATTGAAAACAGACAATTTTTCCAAGGGATCTCGAACTCAAAGATTAATAAATAGCTTATTTAGCATCTTGAATAGCTTATTTAGCATCTTGTCTAATACCTAGGTAAATATATATGTGTAGTATCTAGACCTGGATTATTACCGAGCAAAGCCACCTACGATCATGTAAGCAAGTCGAAAACGGGAGAGTGGGTCGGAACTGACCAAACAGCGCTTGGCTGTTAATAATACCATTCCACGATACCTACAACATAGTTACCTACGAAGTACCTAGGTGTTAGTCTATGTTGTATACTGCCAATTCAATAGGTGCACTTTCCCAAGATTGTACTTGGAAACAGAGAAAAAGACAATATTTGATGAAAGTGAAACTCGTGAAAGTCTGGGGATGATGTACGGTGATGTACCGGAATGCGGAGACGAGGCGAAACGCCGAGGCAATAGCATATGTGGCCGCTTTGATTGGCTGTGATTCCATCAGCTTCTGTAAGATGTACCGAAATATTGGCTCAGGGTTGGAGTGGCATTGGGAAATGGCACAGGAGGAGTACAAATGCCCCGGTTCTTCCCTTCTCTCTTCATCTGTACTTGTACTTCCACCTTTACTTTCCTTTTCCCTGAGTGAAACCCATTAGACTCCTTATCTCACACACACTCTCTGTCTTATCACAATGGCTTCGGCTGCCAGAACTGTTTCCCGGGCCTTCCTGCGCCCAACCCCGGTGACTTCCTCATTCCGTCCTGCTGCACGCAGCACCCGTTTCGCCATCCCCACCAATGGTCTCCGCACCTCTGCCCGTCGTGGATATTCCTCAGAAGCTGGCTCTGAGAAGCCTAGCTCATCCTTTGGCATCTGGGCCCTTGGTATCGGTGCCCTTGGTGCCGCAGGTGGAGCGTATCTCTACCTGAGCGACGACTCCTCCCCTAAGGGGCCCTTCGTCCCCACCCAGGCCGACTACCAGAAGGTATACGACGCTATCGCTTCCCGTCTGGCAGACGAGACCGACTATGATGATGGCAGCTATGGACCCGTAAGTACAGTCACGATCGCTCAACGTTGGAATCAAAGATCAAAGAGCTAATCTAGACGTTTTCGTTGCTCTCAATAGGTCCTGGTTCGTCTCGCATGGCACGCAAGTGGTACTTATGATAAGGAGACCGGCACTGGAGGCAGCAACGGCGCCACGATGAGATTCGCCCCGGAGTCTGATCACGGCGCCAACGCCGGTCTCAAGACTGCCCGCGACTTCCTCGAGCCCATCAAGGCTCAATTCCCCTGGATCACTTACTCCGATCTGTGGACTCTTGGTGGTGCCTGCGCCATCCAGGAGGCGAGTGGCCCCACAATCCCCTGGAGACCCGGCCGTGAGGACAGGGATGTCGCCGCCTGCACTCCCGACGGCCGCCTTCCTGATGCCGCCAAGGACCAACGTCACGTCCGCGACATCTTCTCCCGCATGGGCTTTGATGACCGCGAGATGGTTGCACTTATCGGCGCCCATGCCCTGGGCCGATGCCACACCGATCGTTCCGGCTTTGACGGGCCCTGGAACTTCAGCCCTACCCTTTTCACCAACGAGTTCTTCCGCCTCCTTGTTGAAGAGAAGTGGACCCAGAAGAAGTGGAACGGCCCGATTCAGTTCACTGACAAGACCACTGGCACTCTCATGATGTTGCCCACTGATATGGCTCTTGTCAAGGATAAGGGCTTCAAGAAGCATGTCGAGCGCTATGCCAAGGACAACGATGCCTTCTTCAAGGAATTCTCTGATGTCTTTGTCAAGCTCCTTGAGCTCGGTGTGCCCTTCAAGACTGAGGACCGCTTCGTCTTCAAGACTTCTGAGTAAGGGGATTGCTCAAAAATTGCCTAATGTTCCCGTCTCCTTTAATAGTTATACCTGTCTTGATATCCGAGTCATTACTCACTAAGATTCTTTTTCTTCTTGCCAATGGAACTTCAGATTTCTTCCATGTTTTCATATACCAGTAGTCTAAGCTGTGTCCACAGCATGTGAGTTTCGTTTGGGTGGGATGTTGTGGTTCACATAGAGCGATTGGGCGAGGTTTGGCAGAGCTAGATCGCATAGCTCCAGAGAATACCCATACAGATCATGAAAATATCGTAAAAAATGTGTGCATAATATATACACGTTCAGGACCAGGCACTGAGAAAATAAAAGAAAGACAAGAGAGGATTTAGTCAACACTTAACATCAACTGGTATGGGTCCGGAAGGCTTTCTCCCAAAGTGGCGTGCGACCCGCCAATTTCAAACCTCAAGGAAACCTCTCACAAAGCTCACCAACCCCGCTTTGTAGCACCCCTGCTACCCCAGATTATCACAATTATTCCCTGGAATGCAGGCGATTGGACATTTCCGCTAGACTCCGAGGTATCACTGTAACAGCCGGGCGCGTACCCCCAGTCGCTTGAGGATTCAGTGCGGGACACAGACACAGCGCAACCAGCCAGATACCACGAACAGACCCTGAACAGAAAGCGGAATACAATTCTTTCGACATGACAAGGACGACGTACGCCGTGGATCTCTATGAGATCCTGTCCCTTCCCTTCACGGGGTCTTCCTCGACAGTCCTCTCCAAGCAGCAGATTAAGATCGCATACCATAAAGCGCTGCTGAAACACCACCCTGACAAGGCGGGTGCAGTCGCAAGGGAGACTGGGCTAGGCGGCTCGACTAACTCTACCTCCACATCTACTCCGAGCCCTCTCTTTGCCAAATCCGATGGCAACTCGTCGCAACAACTGTACACCATCGACCAGATCACCACCGCCTACAAGACCCTATCGGACCCCGCCCTTCGCGCCGAATATAATCGCTCTCTACGTCTGGATAGGGTGAAGGTCGCGGAGCGGGAGAAGACCGGCGATGTTTTCCATACCGGCTTGGAGATTGTGGACTTGGAGGATCTTGCCTGCGAAGAGGCGGAAGGCGGCGACGGCGACTGCTGGTACCGCGGATGTCGGTGCGGTGATGAACGCGGGTTTCTGGTCAACGATGAGGATTTGGAGAGGGAGGCTGAGCATGGCGAGATCATTATCGGGTGTCGCGGGTGCAGTCTCTGGTTGAAGATTCTGTTTGCCGTTGAGGCCGATGAAGGATGAAGAGATGGATTGTCAGATGGCCGTTTTCCTGGTAATCGTCTCTGCTCTATCATACGGTCGGAATTCGTGTCCCACTATGTGGCTCATGCGTCGTCGCTGTGTGATAGATGGCATCCCGTGGTCCCATGTCTACGTTGGTCTATATCCCGTTCGGGGACTAGGCTGGTTGGTTCAAGCAGGAGAAAGGTTCAGGTGTTCATTATCAATCTGTTGTGGGCCTTGTCTTTCCCGGGCTCGATTGCCTTCTGGACTTGGCTGGCCGCCAGTCTCTTCTGGTTTCTGCGCGCAGTCCTCGTTGGTCTTGTGTAAACCAACGGCCCATACCAAGTGGTATACTCGTTTTCGGACTCATATCGCTTTGATGGATCCAACCCAAGCACCCTTGCTAAAGCCCAGCTCTCTCACGTTCGGCTGAGCCTGGCTCAAAATCCAACGTTGAGACTGAATGCTGTACCATAGAGCTACTTGTCACCATTTTGTTCTACATCTAGATGTAGATATACTTCTTGTATATATGTTTGCATTTATATTGCCTTGTCGAAAAAAATAGTGTTAAAGGAACAAATTCTACAATCAACAATCTCATTGTGGCCAGCAATATATAACTATGTTGTATGCAAAACATCCAAAACAACTACACTTGATAACTCGGAATTTAAGTCAAATTTGGAATAATCCTGCATTTCAAAAGAGGATCCAATAGTTGCCAGTTCAAATAAAATAATAATTAGGCGGTAAACATGCCCTGTTGTGGTTTATATGAGAATGTTGGTTGTGTAGAGGGGCTGATGACATATGCGGAGGCAGCAAAACACAACCTCACATCTTTCCATCCTCTTCCACCCTCCATTCCACACTCATTCCCCTCCCAACTTCACCATGTCTGTCATTGAGATCTCATCGAAGGAGCAATTCACATCGCTCCTCACCTCGTCCCGTCTTGTCGTCGCCGACTGTAAGTATTTGTTGCAGCTCGATCCTGCCCCGCCGAGACCCTGTCTTCCCTTCCGAACGACCAGAGCTATCGCTAACCTTGGCCTGATACTTAATAGTCCACGCTGATTGGTGCGGACCATGCAAAGCTATTGCGCCTGCGTATAACTCGCTGGCGACTCAGCTCTCCCGCCCGAATCACATCACATTCACCAAGATCAATGTCGACCACCAACAAGAGCTCGCCCAGGCCTACGGTGTTACAGCGTATGTGCATTTCATCCAAAGCATCTAGAATCTAGCATCTAGCCCGATGGACACGTCCAATCCTACAATATTTGCCTTGAGTACTGACAAACGATAACTTAGAATGCCGACCTTCATCGTCTTCAAGAACGGCCGCGTGAACCAAACAGTTAAGGGCGCCAACCCCGCACAGCTGAACCAGATTGTCCAGAAGCTCGCATCCGAGGCAAGCCAATCCGACGACGCAGCAGGAACTGGCGAAGGAAGCAGTTCCGGCGAGCTCTGGCTCGGCGGCGCAGTGGCCAAGGGCTACAGCGACATCACAGATCAGGTTGATTTGAAGGGATTGGAGCTGTTGAACAGGGACACGGATACAGCAGAGCCGCGCGCTCTGTTCAACACCTCGAAGCCTTCCGCACTAGCCGGAAAGGGCAAGGGCAAGGCTGCTGGCCAGGCGGATTGGACCGAGAGTGACACCGATGAGCAGCTGATGCTGTACATCCCATTCAACTCGACACTGAAGGTCCACTCGCTTCAGATTACCTCCCTCCCTCCTGCGGACGCGGATGCCGACGACGACGAGACACCCATGCGGCCTAGGAACCTGCACATTTACAAGAATACTTCCCACGTGCTTGGATTCGACGAGGCGGATGGTATTCCCCCTGCGCAGAAGGTGGAGATCCAGTCTGGTGATTGGGATGCGAAGACTGGGACTGCGACGGCCAACCTGCGGTTTGTTAATTTCCAGAATGTGACGTCGCTGGTTGTGTTCTTCGTTGATGGAGATGGGGACAGCGAGAAGCTGCGCGTTGACCGCATTCGCATTATTGGCGAGGCGGGTGCAAACCGATCTATGGGTAAGCTGGAGAAGATTGGTGACGAGCCTGGCGAGTAAACAACATAGACTCTGGAGAAAACAAGCGTACGCTATTGAGGTCAGAACTGTGAGCTGTCTTGTGCGATTGATTTTTCAAAGACGGAGAGAGTTCGGACAGATCAACATTGCGTGTCAACTTTATGCCAGTTAGAGTACAGTTCAACTATGCCTAATGAAGAGCCATATGGCTGTAAAAAATTGTGCAAGAAGTTTATGACTTGATTCCATTCTCTAATGCTATAAAAATACCCAAAAGTATATATAAAAAAGTATGTTTGACTCCCACCAGAAGGTCTCATCCTTGAGATATCAGAAAGACCCATAAAGGTAAGAATCAATGTGCAATTCCCTTCGTCTGTGGCGCAACTGACACCTGAGTACATCACTGAAAGCCAGACTAATGGCCGTAGATGTCCAGGCAACACGGGTTATCGAGTTGCGCCGCCGCACGAAGAAGAAAAGAAAAGAAGAGGAAAGGCGCTGGTTGAGATTTCCTTTTATGCCGAGTCCCGGAGGTTTGGTTTTTCCGGTTTCCCTTAACGGAAGGTTCCAAGGATTTCGGCGCACACATAAACCCTTGATTATGTAAGCCATATGCGAGGAGCCGATTTTTTTTCATTCGATGCTTTTTTTTTTTTCTTTCTCTTTCTCTTTCTTCCATTAAACATGGTCGATGATGAGAAATATTATAAATTCTATGATAGGAAGAGACTGACTCCCTATGGGAGCGTGATCTCAAATTTACTATTTCTGAGGCCCTTTGTTGTTTATTTCTGGCGTCGTTGGGGGAGCTTGACCTGCAACCAGGGCGAGCTTTAATATCAACACGCAATAGTTACTTTCCAACCTTGCAATTGGGATTATGTTTTGGTCTAGCAACCTTGCAGTTAGAGTTAACAACGCATTCAAGAGCACATTCATTCCAAATTCACATGCGAAACATCTCAGCAGATATTCAAGGACTCTCGGGACAACCATGTTAGCCGAAGCCCACTGTTAATATAAAAACAACCTCCACTCGAGAGAAGAACTCAGACACTGTGACGCAAACTTCAACCCACCACGGAGCCCCCGTATTAGGACTAAACACTGCTGGTACTATGTGGTTCGCCGCTATATCAAGTTCGGCCCGATAATCACGTCGGCCGGCGACCGGATGCGTCCGGCACCCTCACTTTCTCACAAGGTACATGCCATAGCTACAAAGTAGCCGAGTACCAATAAGAATGGTAGCAAACAGCTGTATGGACATGGGTGATTCCATTCGCGTGTCGCAGATGGAGTTTGAGTCCTCGGCACTCGATTTACGCGATGTAAACCGCATCGTCCTATTGGCCATTTTGACGCAGGAGTTCACAGGCACGTGGGCAAGATCGTGCCTCTCTTTTTTTTTGTTTTCATGACTCCATTCCCATCTCCACTGTAGGTTTGGCGGAGAATGGCTTGTTCAGAACCATGGGCCAGTTGGCCAGCTGGCTGGCTGAGGTATACGAAGCCGCGACTTGGTGTGGAGGTTTTAGTACTCCGTAGTTGTTTCATGAATTAATATCAAATGTGGTGCTTGGTTGCGGACATTGTACGATGCCTTCCACATTGCCTGATCGCGATCGAAGTTTCGGGTTTGGCGGACTCCACGGTGATTTCCTCAACCAAGGATTGCTGGCGGGTTCTCTTGTTGCGTGTGGGTAGAAGATGGGTACATTATGGTGGCACGTGTGTGGACCTGGCATGATGCGGTTTATGCTAACTATATTGAGGACCTGAGTAAGTTATGTCGTGTGTTCTTGTAAGTTTTCTTGGAAGTATATGTTGTATAACCGACAAGACGCAGCAACTACCACATCTGGGATCAAACTTTTTTAGAAATGGGTTAAGACCCGCTCTAGCCCGCCCATCGGCGAGCACACCGTCCAGTGCTTTTCTGCTAACAGCGCACGCGATTGAGACTGTGTATCCACTGCCAATGGCGTGTCTTCAGCTGTGATTAGGACTGGACAGACTCGTGTTGATCAGGCGCTGGACAGCAGACAAGACAAGAAAGACATAGGCTTGTCGCTGAATAGTTTCTCACGAAAAGGAGGTTCTCATCTCGAATGGTCTCGCCAGGCAGGTCCGCCACGGGAGGGTTTGCTGCGTCAAGTTTCATCTCAGCTCAGACTGTGGTTTCAGCCCGTAGATCCAGAACCAGCTCCAAAGCCATTGATAAGACCTGTGTTGGACTGTTCACAACACACACACCGGACCGTATGAGACAGTCAGCGCGTGCGGATAACAGTGGACTAGTCTCTCAGTACTCCGTATCGAGTCATGCCATGAGCTTGACCGAAGAAAAACGTGAATCCGTTACGTACAAGATACTGCGCGGGAAGGTGATCTGCTCGTGTTGGCGGGGGGCTGGGTTAAACGTTGGAAAGGGCCACTTTCTCGGTTCTGAGCATTTTGGCTAAATACTATGGGAAATGGAGCTGGTTGTCGATCCCGATAGCTCAAGGACCAACGTATGTAGTCGCCGAGCCGGACCTCTCCGAGCTAGGTACACGTACCGATAGTAATTCCGGTGTGCATTCTGTTTAACTAGTTACTCCGCATGATGTACACGCTAGATTAGATTGGTATATCTTCGGGGATTTCTGGTGATATGGGTGGGGACGGATGTTCATAGACTACGGGATATAGCGCAATGGCAATGTTGGAGAAAGTTTACAAAACATGGGAATTAGCTACGTGATCATATTCCGAAAGGATCGAATGTTTTTTCCGTAGTTGTGAAGCCACGTAAGGCATCCTGCTACAATGACCTCAGTAACCAGGGTACCCATGTAAAGGTTAGTTAGATCAGATAGGGCTCAGGGAATCACATCCTTTCATCATCTTGGACCTCGGGAGTCTTTGCACACCCCCCATTCGTACCAGAGATCCAGGTCCGAAAGTATAACTCCATACGAGGATCAAAATTATTTTTTGACCCACTGTGTCTCGTGAGAAAAAACCCGATAATTGGATAAAATATACAATCTATGGAGTATGTTGGAGTAATGGTGCCTGAACCAAGAAATGATTCCGTTTGATATTGGGGTCAATGATGATGGTCATGGTTCCACGGGAATTTGTGAGGACTCGAAATCCAGTGAGCTATTTGATTGGCGCCCTATGGAGGTAGTCTGGACGGAAATGAATCCGGTACCCTAAGTACCCTAATGCACATTCCCACCACGGGCTGGGTAAGCTATCTCCGCATTCGCGTATATATTGGATCGTGCCGAGTCCAAGAATCCTTCGATCGAGGCTCGTTGGTTTTTGATTTGTCCAATTTGTCTAATCTGTGGGTTGTAGGCCGATCTATGCCCCCAATGGAAAGTGGAGATAGTGTTCACACACCATTCCCCATTATGTATAGAGGCACCGAGGTACTCCGTATGTTGTGAAGCTTCACGAAACTTTGTGCTTGAAGATTGCGGCACAATAAAATTCAAAAAATAAGAGCGTCGAGAAGTTTCTATTGGGTAAGTTAATTTCTCACTTTACCGCATAAAGTGTTAGTTGGTAACCTTAGGAACCTTCCCAAGGTTGGAGAAGGTTCAAGAACCATAGAAATTGAATGAGCTGATAGTGGGCCGATGCACAGCAGATCTTACCGAAAACGAACCCTGCATCCCACGTTCCTGTAGCCACGTTGGCACTGGCCTTATAGTTTCGGTAGTTAGTAGGCCTTGATGTTCAGATTTTGTATACTATGTGCAGCACGTGCTTTCCTTGAAGAGCTCTAAAGAGTAAGCTGTGACCGATAGTACGGTTGATCATTTGAAGGTTATCCCAGTTTTACCTAGTTTTTACTAAGTCTTGGACGATCGGATCAGGGTTTGGATGCCACACTGGGTCTTATGTCTCAGGTGCAGTAGCCAGTTACACAAGGTCCTCGAACTTTAGAACTGAGATCGCGATAAACATATTTTGTGCGGATAACCGAGGAACTTATCTGAAACACATGTCTAGCAAGCCACGCTGACGGCTATGTTGTAGTTAACTAGTGTTTTCTGTTTTCTGTACTCCGTAGGCGAAGGTTCTTTATACAAGTTGGTTCTGGTTGTGTGTACCACACTTTCTTCAAAACGGATTTACCAATGTATACTGTGTACCCGTGGACGGAGTAGGACCTTTGGAGTACTCAGTGCCATAGCACACAGAGCGAGCACACACCGATTGCGGGGCCGTGTAAAATGCCCGATTTGGAAAACAGTGATTTACCCGCGAGGACGTTCATCCTCTCAACCATGGTTGTCCGACTGTGTGGAACTGGGTTGATCGAGTTTCCCCCCGCACTTTGCTCGCTTGGAATTATGTACTGCCCATGTAACATGGGTTTGCCCTCCGAGATACGGGGGACCTTGGGAATTTTTTTTGGGGGGAGGTCGGAGCTGTGTTTCCCATGGGAGTAGGAGTGGCGTTTCGCCAAAATAATAGCTAACTAACTAATAACTAACATACCTGCCAGTGTCGCACATGTTTGGCGCACGGACTATAGTTAGTTATATTACATTGTGGCAAAGTGCCCTATGTTGGATGATTATATATTAAAAACGATGCACAACGGTCGCATGAGACCACTGAAACCATCTGACCGTCAAGACAACTTAAGCTGTCTGATTTGGCCTGATCCAATCCCAGATAGTCAGATTGTGAGACTGTGAGATAGTGAGATTGGAGTCAGTTGGTTCGAGATGTCACGGAGGTGAAAAGACCTCATACTTCCCAATTGGGACTTGATTTCCCGATTAGGAATCTAACTAGTACCTACCGAGGTATTTCGCTGGAGACATTGAGATATTAACGGCTAATTAATTTTGCATTTGGGTAATATTAACAATTTCCATTCCTCACGTTCTCTTCTAACGGTCTCCGAGTCATTCTAGCAAATTGCCATAACAGGCCATATTGAGGCCAGTGCTCTCACAGAACGGGAAGTAAGCCCAGAAGAGAGAGGTACACCGCAAAGTACAAAGTATAGGCTCCGCTAAAAATGTGACCATCGACAATAATCCTGTCCAGAAAGTAGGATCCGTTCTTGAAACTGAAAACTGGGCCCGAAAAAAAAAGAAAAGTAGCCAAGCCAAGAGAGCCGGCGCACACTAGCGCCAACAGCAGCCTCAAAAAACGCGTGTTCCCTACCCGTTCTGCCCGGATATCGATGATTTGGACTGCGTTTCAGATTTTAGCCTTGTCAAATATGCGGATATGCCCGCCAAGTTTTATACTATACGGAGTATGGAGTACCTAGAGATAATTAATTTCGAATTTAAAACAATAGAATCCCTTGAGTCGTCCAGTGAACCCACTATGTACCTTGTAGGTATGTAGGTAGTACTCCGTACATTTCCCTTCCCCCACAAGTCCACCCTAGAGATCTGCGTATGTTGTTACTAGTATGTCACCAAGTCTCACTATGTTGTACTTTTCGAACACTTTCTATCGAGGCCATAGCTATCAGCTTTAGCTTCTTTTTTCTTAGGTACATACGGTACCACGCCTCAATTCCTTCGCCAGCAGCCAACGGTGATAATCCGGGGTTCTGGCGGGATGGAAATGAATCTGAATTGGCCTGTCCACTTTATATTGCTTGTAATTACAAGCGCTCCGAGGCTGGTACCCGCGCTGGTTTCGGACTGCAATAGCCCTACTCGTAGCGGTAGAGATATGCAAGCGACATAGTCGGTCTGGATGGCTGGGTCTGTCCATTATTGGGCTTCCGATAACTACTTAGTATAACACAAGAATGGGGGCTTCGAACAAAACGTTTTTTCCTCCATGGCATGATTGATTCAAATCTTTACTTAACAACCCACAACATACGATGTATTTGATTATGTTGTCTATGACACGGAGTACGGAATACTGAGTAGTCCACTCCACATAGTGAATGTAATTTTTTTTTTTTCTTTTTCCGCTTTATCTGAAGCCTCGGTGGTCCCATGTGAACGGCCTGGTCGATGGCGAACTAATCCCTGCAAATCTTCCGCCAAGAACCGTTGACAGAAACACAAGCGCAGAACAGAGGACCGTGAATTCCTTGCGGATCTGCTATCCACATTTCTTTGTGACATTTTCACGAAATATTAAGTCTCATATCGTCTGATGTATCCAAACCCACCTAGAATCCTTGTGGCGTTGACAGGTGCGTTTGCGCAATTCTATTTTCTTTGCCTTGTGGATTGCAAATAGTACAAATGTGGGTTTGGATGTGTAGATTATGTGCGGTGAATCCTCGGTGGACCAGGACGTTTTGCCCAAACCCACTGATGCATGGGAGATCCCAACGGTACATAACTCCCGTACCTATCGCGAGACGCAAATCTGAGCCCTTACTGCGGGCTCCTTGGGTCTCGACCCCTGGAGAAAGACTAATTCCATGCTATGCATATATCTTGTCCGGGGTTAACCATGACAGATAGACTGGTCACCTTTTGATGACAGGCCCTTAAACTCGGAT